TGACTCCTAGGTCTAACCAGCCTTGAGTTGGTACCGGGTGTAGTCCCGGGAAGTAAAGGCGACCGGGGTGTTGCTGACAACATCACCCATTTATTGCCAATTGGTCTATAAAAATATAAGTGTTGCCCTATAGCTATGAAGGCTTGAAAAAAGGCCCTTTACTTTTAATTTCATGTGTTTATATATATGTGTGTGTGTGTGTGTCTGTGTCTGTGTGTGTGTGTCTGTGTGTGTGTCTGTGTGTGTCTGTGTCTGTGTGTGTTTGTGTCTGTGTGTAGGTTTACTTACCTAGGGCTGTCTAGGCTATCTAGAAGAATGGTACAATGACGCTTCCACTGGAACCGGAAATTATCGCTGGCTGACTAAAATGGGGACGAGCTGCTCATGGGAATGTCCCGCAAGCTGTGATGTCGACACTGAACTCCGCCAGTAGACACTAGAGCCGTTAAAATGCTTCTCGGCGTTAAACTACACAAGACACAAGCTATCTTACAATACGAATTCCAAAATAGCATAAATAATTACTGATAACAATCTATAAGAAAAACACCATCGAGGGAACACACAGTATCCAGAACACAAGCAATGTAACGATGTAATGTAAGCAAGAGTTTAAAAAAAACAAGACATGATAAAACAAACCGTTGACCTGGTCAGTTGTTGGTGCACAGTTGGTCTCTTCGTGTGTCACGCTGTATCAACAATTAACTATACTGTTTAACGGCGTTGCTTCTGTCCGCCTGACCTGTGTTTATTTCCCCGTATACATTCTCTGGTGCAGGAGATAGGGCTCAAGGGTGCCTATGCTAGAATTAGTAAAGTAAACGACCCTTTCCATGCCTTCTGACGCATTGGGCATATAGGGCTAGACCTATGTTTTATAGACCACTCGGCACTTGGTGGGTGATATGGTCAGCATTACTTTCCAGAGCTGTACCTGGTACCTACCAAATCAAGACTGGGTCGACCTGGGGGCCAAAGTCATTTTTAAAATCTGGGTCAATCAGGACCCGAACCACGACCTTCCGGTTTGCAGGCGAGCATCTAGCCGCTACACCATGGTGGCTCTCTATGCTAGCATTCTAACTGAAAATACGTAACTTGGTTTTATACTATGAAGTTTCATCATTATCATGTAGCAGGTCCTTTGCAGAACGTCGCTCTCATCACAGTCTGTCTTGGAAAAAAAAAAAAAACTCTGTCTCTCGCCAGTTCTCCTGCCTCATGAACTTTCATACTCAAGGAGTCACTTATATTCTGTGCCCATCGGTCGGCCCCTGCCCCTCCTTCCTGGTACCATGCCTTCTGCTATAGTTTTTTCCAATCCGTCGTGGCGCTTGATATGACCAAAATATTTCAGCTTCCGAGACAGGATGCTGTTTATTAGCCAATCTTCCTTGATGTTCAAATCTTTTAAGATGTCAATATTTCTCCTCTTCTTTGTCCAAGAAATTCTGAGAATCTTTTCATAGCATTTCAGCTCAAAAGTCCCCATTTGATGAGTTTCTTGGGATAGTAATGTGGTAGTTTCCCGTTGCTTTCCACATTCACATGGCTTTAGACCATGCCCTCAGCCTTCAGCAACCTTTTCGATTGCTAGGGGAAGTGAGTGCCCTGCTCTGTGATGCTCGTGCATGAAATTTAGAGTCCCATATTTTGTTCCGGCGTTTAAACGCTGCTGATGCCTTGCCGATGCATGTAGTACTTTCTTGTTTATTAATTTCTTAAGTGCTTCACATCAATAGTAAAAAATTGACCGAATGGCTAATTAATACATAACACGTTGGAAATAATATGAAATGTATACGCTACAGCCATCTTACTGTTTGATTTATATTTATTTATATAGTAAACCATATGAATTACATAAAGACACGAACGTATACAGAACTTTTTTACACGGATGTATGGTCGGGCAACATTCATCTTACAGTGTGATTATTTTTATTTACATAGTAAATAATACTAAAGATGTATAGACACAACCGTAGAGAGAACGTTTATACACGGTTTAAGGTGCGGGCAACAGCCATCTTACAGTGTGATTATATTTATTTATATAGTAAATCATATGAAATATCTATAGACACAAACGTAAAGAGAACGTTTATATACGGTTGTATGTTCTGGCAACAGTCATCTTACAGTGTAATTATATTTATTTACATATTAAATAATATTAAAGATATATATATAGACACGAACGTACAGAGAACTTTTATACACGGTTTGCCCGGCTGTCTAGCGAAGTTGGTTAAACCTGACTTTCGTGGCGGCCGGGTGACGAACTCCTTGTGGTCCGGGTTCATTCCCGGGGGTAGGCAGAAAAGCCACATTTCTCCCAGATTAACGGTACCTATAATGGAATCAAGGCCGAAGGGTTGCGATATCCATAGTACCGAGCCAAAGGGTTTCCAACTCATGGTTTCTGGATACGTTAAAAAAAAAAAAAAAAAAAAAAATACACGGTTTAAGGGCGGACAACAACCATCTTACAAACTGATGTTGAATATTTCTTTAGCGCCTATGGCCTCAAGGTTAGTTGCGTATCCTTTACAGGACGTTGCAGAACCAACCCCAGCAGCCCCTAGCTGTTGTGTGGTTTTTCTAGGCACATTTACGTCCAGTAGTTTACCACTACTTTCTGGACGGTCGGCTTTCTTGATACCACTGTTGAAACCAACGCAAGGCGCATGGCCCGCAGTTAGGATCGAACCCGGCATCCCTGCATTACGAAGCCGACCTATGTCCCTAAGTAAAAGTAAAAGTAAAGGACCCTTATCCACGCCTTTAGGCGTATAGGGCATATAGGGCTATACTTATTTTTTTATAGACCAATCGGCACAAGATGGGTGATGTGGTCAGCATCACGCCGGCCGCCTCTACTTCCCGGGACTGCACCCGGTACCCACTCAAGGCTGGGTCGACCTGGGAGCCAAGGTCATTTTTGAAAATAGTCCGGCTCCGCCAGGGAGCGAACCCACGACCTTCCGATCCGCGGCGAGCGTCTATCCGCTCGGCCACGGCGATCCCCTATGTCCCTAAACTGAAGGATAATTTAATTGCATAATTCATTAGTTAATTTGCTCCTAAAATGAAACGATAATTTCTCATTATTTTGTGTGGTTTTGTCAGCACCGTCTCTGTGGTTCTAAGCGTTGCAGTTCAACAGATGATAGGCAGCCGAGCATGAGTGTTGGTGGTGTACCAGTCTCAGATTTGATTGTTTCCCCTCCCCCATTAAAGACTACTTGTAAAGAATCGTTTTTCCCGTTTTCAGGAATATTGAACACACAAGACGACCTATATTTTAAGGACCAATCGGCACTTCATGGGCGATGTGGCCAGCATGACCCCGGTCGCCTTTACTTCCCACGACTCCGCCTGGTACCCATTCAAGGCTAGAGGTCGATCCGGGAGCCCACAAGAAAAAGGTTCGCTTACGTCAGGACCCGAACGAAAGATTAATTTAGTGGTCTGTATATTCACCGCGGTCGGCTCTGTGGTTAAGTCGATGCGAACGCTTCGCTACGATGCCGGGATGCCAGGTTCGATCCCAGCGGCGGGCCATGCGCCTTGCGTTGGTTTCGACAGTGGTATCAAAGAAGCCGACCGTCCAGGAGCAATGGCAAACTACTGGACTTAAATTTGCCTAGAAAAACTACACAAAAACCAGGGCCTGATGGGGTTGGTTCTGCAACGTCCTGTAAAGGATACGCAACTAACCTATATTCACCTCGGAGTCTGCGGCTTGGTCGTTACGAACTAGTCTCGTAATGTCGGGGTGTCGGGTTCGATACTAGCTGCAGGCGATCTGGCAGCAGACCGCCTTGCATTGGTTTCGACTGTGCTAGAGAGAAATGGCCTGCTACTGAATGTAAATTTGCCTTGAAAAGCACAGCAACAAAGAAATGTCGGGGTTCGTTCTATGAAGTCTTGTAAAAGAAACCCAATTTTCTTTTTTTAAACGTTTATCTATTTAATATCCGTGTTTTTATTTTTAAGAGGTTAAAGCTCGAAGACAACTTATCCCAAACATCAGAAAGAGAAGTCATCATTGTTTGGTCACGTGAAAAGGAGAACACGTTGTAACCACAGTAAAGACAAAAAAAAAAAAAAAAAGACAATATGAGAAGTTTCTTGACAGTTTTTTGTCATTGCATGTAGGGGTGTCAACACGAACCAATAAACGCAGTTGCAGATCGCAAATTGTGGAGAGGCATAGTCGCCCATGCCAGTTGGCAAGGCACTTGATGATGATTACGTCAATTTCTGCAACATCTGAATTCGACTTAATAATTGACTGTTCACTGTTCCGTTTTTTTTTTTTTATTATGGGGTGAAATGTACATAACATTTATAAATTCCAATTTTAGTATGCTGTTTTATAAAGTTAGTCTGTTGCATTTTAATTACAGGACGTGACGTTGCAGAACCAACCCCAGTTGTGAGAGTTTGTGTGTGTGTGTGTGTGTGGCTGTTGGTTTTTTTCCTAGGCAAATTTTACTTTCATTAGTTTGCCATGGCTTATTGCACGATCGGCTCTCAGTACCACTGTCGAAACCAGGGCAAAATAAAACGACTGTAGTTGGGATTTGACCCGGCACCCCTATATTAAGAAGCGCGCTCGCAGCGCACCAGCCACAGACGCCGTAGTTGACCGCATTATATATCAATATTTGTTTCTCATTTTACTTAAAATATTTGTGGTGTTTGCTATTCTCCTTTTTGATTTCTCATATTTGGCATCCCTTGTCAAACAAGTAGACGCTTTGAGTTTTCGTACGATGTTTTTTTTTTTTTTTTTTAAAATTGTCAAAATATAAAGTTCATACCTATAGAACAGACTGCCTTTATCTGTGATCTGTGTACTTGTGCTGCTACGTGGACATTTTATTGCTAGTTCTGTGTGTTTGTTTCTGCCAGTCGATCCCGGGAAATTTTTATCTGTCCGCGTGATTACAACGTTAAAGAACACTGCCCCGAGAGAAATATTCACATTACATTTTATTATTTTTATCTGAAATTGTCAAACATTGAGTGAATAAATTCATAAAATATGCATACAAGACACACAACAATGTCAGCTCAAAAACTGCCAAATGTAAGCTGGATTTAGCAGAGCCGTTCTGAACGATGAACTCGCGGAAGAATCTCGCGGAAGACCTAGGTGTGCGGGTCCTGTTGGGGCTGCTGAAATCAACGTGGTAAAGGCCAAACTTCAAGGTGTAGCCATCTGTCCACTCGAGATTGTCCATCAGCGACCAGGCGGTGTAACCATGCACTCGGACACCATCCAGTTTTATTGCTGGCGGAAATAGAATAGAAAGCACACGACCAATCAAATCTCTGTCTTAAATGTTTGTTGTATTCTACTAGACACAGCGTTACGGTCCGACATGTTTGTAATTGATGCTGTATTTGTTATTCGACCTAGTTTATACACATTTCTGTAACCTATTAAAAAAAAAAAGACTCTTTTCCACGTCTTTAGGCGTATAGGGCATTTAGGGCTGGACCAAAATTTTTATAGACCAATCGGCACAAGTTGGGTGATGTGGTCAGCATCACACCGGCCGCTTTTACTTCCCGGGACTACACCTGATACCCACTCAAGGCTGGGTCGACCAGGGAGCTAAGGTCATTTTTGCAAATAGTCCAGCTCCGCCAGGGAACCAAAACATTACCTTCCGATTCGCGGCGTGCGTCTAGCCGCTCGACCACGGCGACTCCTTTCTGTAACCTATAGTGCCATTTTAATGGTTTGAGATTAATTCTGTTCCATAGTTGTGGATTTCAGACTGTACGATAAACATGGAATATGAAGAGATCTTTTTAAGGGATGCCTAGTTAGTCATGTTCTTAGTGCACTTGTTTCCATAGTGAGGTGCACACTCCATTTGGAGGTGACAGGTTTGATTCAAAGCACGGTAACCAAAACGTTTGATTTTTATATGGTCTAGTGAGTCCTTCTGTCTTTGACTTCTTCCTATGGGTGCCAATTAATACATTATCAGTTTTGTTTATTACATACACGTCAACAGAATGGAATGGAGAAACTAACTGCAACATCTTTGGGGCATAGCCAGCGATGTGACTTAGAGGTTTGGGAAATCGTTTGACACCGTAATCCTAGTTGTGTTTCCAGGGTTCGATCCCCGCGGTGGGCGGTTTAGACAAACACTGTTCTCGTGGCTTTCAAACAGTGGTACGAGAGTCACACCGTAGAAAGGATAGGGGCCTCAACACGCAACATTCTCATAGTTAACATATCATACATGGCAATCAACATCCATTGGAGAGATGGCACAGTCTTTATTTTTCTGTCCTGCCAAAAACTGTCATAACTGCCCCTATTCACCACGCCACGGTGCAGACAAAATAAAAGAAGGGTTGAGGAGTGGTGGGGGTGGGGGACGGGGGGGGGGGGGTGTTCTTACGTCTGAAGATTGATTGCTGCATGGCTAGTGCTGTCGCCACATACTGTGCAGGTTATGATTTCATTTTTGTCTCCGACAGAAAAAAAAAATCCCGATCTTACCGCGGATATGAACCCTGGTCTCCTGTTTCAATCCCAGCCTTCATAAACATTTAGCCAGCCGCTACTTTTTATTTTTAATTTTAATATGACATATCCTGGCACACCATAATCACGACAATGATGACGAAGAAAATTATTACACAAGAAAAGGATGAACAACGAATGAACTTGGTTTTCTAAAGGTTAAGAATTGGGCACGCAAACACACTGAACACACATTTCATGAAAACAATTAAAGAAACCTTTTCCACGACTTCAGGTGTATTGGGTACATAGGGTTAGACCTATATTTTATAGATCAAACGGCACTTGGTGGATTATATTGTCAGCGTAACGCCGGCTGTCTTTACTTCCCAGGACTGTTCTTGGTACTCACTCAAGGCTGGGTCGACCAGGCAGCCAAGATCATTTTTGAAAAAATAAATTGCCGGCTTCCATTAGGATCCCAACTCACGAACCCCGATCTGCAGGCGAGCGTCTAGCCACAACACCACGGCGGCTCCCTATGCAAACCATTAATGGAATAAAATGTCAAGTCACATGTTTGCGGTTGTAACCCAGTCAGTTAGAAATCGCAGATTATAGAGAGGCATGATAGCCCACGCCAGTCGGCAAGGCACCTGATGATGATGATGATGATGATGAGAGGGGAACATCTGAAGTGAAAACGAGGATAGCAAAGAATCCAGGAAAGTAAACGCCGTCAGACGTATTTGGGAGTCGCTGTGGCGTAGCGGCTACACGCTCGCCTACGGATCGGAAGGTCGTGGGTTCGCTCCCTGACGGAGCCGAACTTTTGTTCAAAAATGACCTTGGCTCCCAGGTCGACCGAGCCTTGAGTGGGTACCGGGTATGTATGAAAGGCGTGGAAAAGGGTCCTGTGGACAGAGACGTCACGCGTATTGGGTATATAGTGCTAGATATATTTTTTATAGACCAATCGGTGCTCGTTGGGTTATGTGTTCAACATCAACCAGCCGTCTTTACTTTCCAGGACCTTACCCGGTATCCAACCAAGGCTGGGTTGACCTTAAAGCCAAACCCATTTTGAAAAAAAAGTCCTCACCGTTTCGATTCGAACCCACGACATATAGATCCACAAAAAAGCGTCTAGCCGCTATACCCCATCGGCTTCCCCTTGTTTTGTTTCATCTTGTTTTCCAGCCACATTTCTTATACATTTCATATGTTGTAATTTTGGGTTTATGTTTTTTTCTAGGACAGTTCATATCTAACACTGACAGCACAACGTTGGTGCGAACAGCGCAGCAAATTAACGACAACACCAACGATTTGTTTACCTTTGAGCACCTCGTTTGTGTAGAACTTGTAGTAGTCGATTCTGGCCGGATCATGGATGTCACTGTTGGTGTTCAGACCGTTCTCGGTGATGATAATCAACGGATTATAATAATGTTCTTTGACCCAGGCTAGCGACCTCCGGATGCCCCAAGGATTCACTGTCATCCAGTATGCCCCGGTGCTATTCAGAAATTGAGATGATCAAATAAAAATATAAATATACTGAATATATCTATAAGAAGACAAAGAAAAATAAGAAACTAATTTTTAAAATTAGACACTTAAACAAAGGCTTAATCGGAACAAGACCAAATTCCCGAAGAGGACGAGCAGCCAAAACTTTCTGCCGGATTTTAGGGGTCGATGAACACAAAGAAGAAGACAAAGGAACGGAAGTGTTTATTATTGTTACACTTGCGTATCCTTTACAGGACGTTGCAGAACCAACTCCAGCAGCTCTTGGCTGTAGTGTGGTTTCTCTAGGCAAATTTACGTCCCAGTAGTTTGCCATTGCTCTATGAACGGTCGGCCCCCTGATACCACTGTCGAAACCAAAGCTAAGCGCATGGCCCGCAGCTGGGATCGAACCCGGCACCCCGGCATTAGGAAGCGTTCGCATCGACTTAGCCACAGAGCCGACCTGTTACACATAGACAAACTTAAACGAACATTCCCATTCGAGACCCTTTCTACCAATTTAATTATTTATTTATCGTTTCAGATTCCCAGACTGGGGATGGTCGTCAAAGGACTTAAAAAAATGGGGTGGGGGGGGGGGGGGAGGGGGAGTGGAGTGTTGGAACTACACTACTCATAGTCTATTCACATACCGTGGCCAGCAAGTGTCTTGTGTTAGCTCCAGATCGCCATCAAACTCATAGCTGGGGGTCGAGTCCGGGTTAGGTCTGTTCCTCACCAGATGGGATATATAGTGGTTGACACCCAGAAAGTCAGCAGAACCTGTTCAGTGATCAGAGGCAAGTCTGTTGAAATCCTTGAGTCTATCTGAGTGTTGCAAGTCAATCTTCGTGTAATTCTATCAGCATATACAAAAATCTATCTGGACTTCAAAAGAAATTTTTATGTTACAATTCTAAAATGGCGCTGAAAATCTTTCTAGATATATCAGTCATTCTGGATATCGAAAATCGGAATGTTATTAATCTGTTTGGATATTGAATCTCTATTCAGATGTTTAATGTCTCTCGTAATGTTGTGAATCTATCTAAGTGTTAAAAATGACAATTTTCCATGTCTTTGAGCGTATTAGGCATAAAGGACTAGACATATATTTCATACACAAATCGGCACTTGGTGAGTGATGTGGTCAGCATCACACCGACCTCCTTTACTTCCCATGACCTCATCTGGTACCTATTCAAGGTTGGCTTGACTTGGCAGCCAAAGTCATAAAAAATGTCTGGCACCGCCAGGTGCTAAACCCACGATCTTTCTGTGAGCAGGCAAGCCTCCTACACCATGTTTATTTGGACGTTGTTTATCTGTCAGAATGTTTGTATCTTGTCTGAATAGTGAAGGGCTATGCAACTAAGTTTACTCAGGGGCCAAAATGTTGAAAAATTGGTTTGACACAAAATGGCAATGATCCGCGGGCTATTTACTAGGCCCTCGTGGGCCAGATTTGACCCGCGGACCGCCAGTTGAATAGCCCTGATCTATATTAATGTTATCAGTCTATCTAATTATTGAAAGTCTTTCCCCTAGTACAATGGTTCTCAACCTTCATAATGCCGCGACCCTTCAATACAGTTCCCTCATGTTGGGGCGTCCCATAAGCAATTATTTTCCTTTAAAACTTCAATGAATAAGTGCTTTCCTATGGTGCTTGGTGACCCATGTGAAAAACCCTTTCGGGACCCCCCCCCCCCCCCCGAGTCACGACCCACATTTTCCCTAATTACACCAAAAAGGCACAAATGAAGGTTAACTGTCGGTTACACCAAGAAGACACAAGAGGTAGTTTGCCGTTAGTACCTTAAAGAAAACACATGTGGTGTTTTTCCTTCAGTTACACCAGGAAGACATATTGGTGGTTTATGGTTTCTTAGCTCAAGTAGATGATTTGAATATTCTACAGCTAGAAGACACACATATGGCCGTGAATCCTGGACAATTGGTAGGCAGGCCAAACAATTTCTTGAGGCCTTAGCGATGTGGTTTTACAGAAGAGTGCTTAGAATACCTTGGACAGCTAAAAAGAGCAACCAAGAGGTTTTGAAAGAGGCAGGAGCCCGAAGACAACTTATCACAGACGTCAGAAGGAGACAGTCATCATTTGTCGGTCATGTTATGAGAAGAGGGAAAATTGAACATTTTGTGACCACTGGAAAGATCTGTGGAAGGAGGGACAGAGGAAGACAACGAGAGAAGATTCTTGACAGTCTTGTTGCATGACATGGAGGTGTGTCGGCACACGAACTGATACATGCTGCAGGAGATTGTGGATTATGGAAATGATGATGATAATGATGATGATGATGATGATGATGATGATGATGATGATGATGATGATGAAGATGATGACGGTTACTTAGCACAAGTTGATGATTTAAATATTCTACAGCTAGAAGACACACGTGACGATTTGTTGTCGTTATGTATTTTGCACAAATAGGTCACAAGCTATGGTTTGACCGTTAAAAGTTTTACAGGAAGAATAAATAAGGGATAGTTTACCTCTGCTACAGCAAGAAGAAAACTAATAACTGTTTTCAACAAGAAAACACCAGTGATAGTTTACCATTGTTTAGTATTTTCTCGGCGTCCGTAAACTCTGGTAGTCTGCTGGAAGCAAACCCTTGACGCCTGCTCTTGTCTCCAATGAACTTTTTCATCACTTGTGGGTAGTCGCCACTTCCAGAAAATATGGCGTTGGCAAACCTAGCAACCAAGACTTTCTTTGTTATTAATTAAAACAAAATAGTGCTGCCTTCGCAATAGAGACTGGCTTCAGTGTATCCAAGGATGATTATGGGAAAATGCCAATTGTACGGCCCAAGTCATTTCACGGTGCGACGCTCGCCACACTGCATTAAAGCTATGAGAAATGTCTCGTCTCTAACTGTATTGATCTAGATAAGCTTTCAATATCCATGTGGATTGACAACATCAAGATAAATTCACAACATCCAGATAGTCATAACATAAAGATAGATTTACAACATCCCACTTTAATCCTAACATTCGGATAGATTGACAAATGTTGAATGTTGAATTAAGAATCGACATCATAACACTTGGGACACTCCCATAAGCTCTCCGTCCTGATCTTCAGCAGCAAGCGAAGAGTTAAAATTCCGATGGTACCAGTAACTGTCTGACTGTATATCCGTCTCGCCTTTCCACTGAGTCTCAGGCGTCGACCAGATTCCCTTGGATATCTATCTATCCTTGGATAGATTACCAATATTAAATATATTGTCACATCCAGATAGATCTACAATGTCCATATAGATTGACAACATCCAGATAGATTGACAACGTCCATATAGAATGACAACATCTAGATAGATTGACAACATCCAGATAGATTGACAACATTAAAATAGACTGACACATTCGGATATAATGACAACATTCTGATAGATTCTCAACGTTTAGATATTTCACATTTTTTTCTGTCTCCTTTCTTAAAAATTGGTATCAATAATGCGTCTTTCCACTCATGGGGTAATTTCGTCCGTCTTCTAAACTAGTTTGATTAATTCATATATCTTTACATGTAATGCTTGACCACCTAAAAAAAAAAAAAAAAAAGTTCAGCAGCAATTCAATCAGCACCAGTTGCTTTAGTGTTTTTAAGCCGTGTTATGACATACAGTACTTCTTCAAAATCAGGTTCTTTAGTATTTGGTTTATATGTTAGTATCTTTTCTATGGACAAATATTTAGTGGATTTAACAATTCAGCAAAGTATTCCTTCCACATATGTTACATATATCTTCATTATTATTTATCATATTGCCATTGTAATCTTTTAAACTACATATGCTTTGTTGATGCCTTCGTTTTTGTCTTCCGGTGTTTAAAAAATAACTTTCTTGATTCGTTGTTATGATGGTTAGCTTCCATATCCATCACAATATTGGTTATGTTTTCTCGCTTTTGCTGCCTAACTACGTTTGTAGCTTCTTTACATCACATTCTGTTCTAGATATTTCTTTCTTTCGTATGCTTCTAACATCATTTAGCCACATCTGTCTGGCATGTTTTATTTAATTACTGACTACTACTTCACATTTTTAATCGACCCATTTCTTTCTGTTTAGAGGACACACCAAGACGTTCTTCTGCAGTGGTTTGAATTATATTCTTAATATCCAGCCAGGTTTGGTCAATTTTTTTCTCTGAAGTATTTTGCAAATTTTCCTTTTCACGTTTTAATTCATCTGCTGATTTCACTCATATGGATGTTTTTAGTAGCCTTTCTCTATTGTACTCTGGATTAGATCTTTGCAACTTGGTGTAGAAAAATCTCCTAAGATTGATTTTTAATTGTGTACCAACCAATCAAGGGTCACCGTGACACTCAGCTCCCCTGTAGCATCTAACTTTATATATCTTCAATGCATTTCTATTATTTATTAAAATGTGATCTGTTTGATTATAAGTTATCTTCTCACATGATTACCAGGTTTGTTTATGTACATCTTTTCTTTGAACTATAGTGCTGCTTAACTGTAATCCTTTGGCTACTGAGAGGTTGATTAATCTCTATCCTTTATCATTTGAATGTATATCTAGGCTTTCCCTGCCTGCTACAATTTTATGGGTGCTTTCTTTTTCTTTTTTGGCATTGAAATCTCCTAAGGCAATCAGTATGTCCAGTTTTTGAGTTTCCTCTATGATAAGTGATCATATGGGAATCGCTGTGGCCGAGCGGCTAGACGCTCGCCGCGGATCGGAAGGTCGTGGGTTCGCTCCCTGGCAGAGCCGGACTTTTTCCAAAAATGACCTTGGCTCCCAGGTCGACCCAGCCTTGAATGAGTACCGGGTGCGGCCCGTGAAGTAAAGGCGGCCGGCGTGATGCTGACCACATCACACATCTTGTGCCGATTGGTCTTTAAAAATATACGTCTAGCCCTATATGCCCTATACGCCCAAAGGCGTGGAAAAGGGTACTATACTTTTTTTTTGAACTGATCATATAAATGATCCTTAATATAATCTTTTTTTTTTTAACGTCACTGGGTGCATGCACATTAATCATCATGATATGTTTTTATTTTCCAATTATTCATAACTTACTGATCTTATCGTTTACCGCTTCAAATTTAGAATACTTTCCCACAGCTTTTTCTTGATGACAAATCTTGTCCCTAATTCATGTTTGTTTCGTGTGTTTCCTCCAAACATTATGATCATTATTTTTGCCTTCATGAAACTTTGTCCTGTCCATCATATTTCTTAAATGGCTGTTATATCCATTCTGTAATCTAACTCATGGATCAGTTTTTCAACTCTTCAACTGCTTCAGCTCCATAAAGGGTTCATAATCCCATGTTCCAAAATATGAAAAGTCCTGTAACGTTCCCATAGATTATTAGGTAAGTAAAAAGCCGAAACATTTACTGGAGGGGAACCTCTTTCCGATGATTGGAAGTCTCATGTAGAACTCGTTTCTCTGTAGAGTTTCTATTATTATATGACCTTGTTTACTTACCATCCTATGTTAAAATGAACAGCTCTCTCAGCAGCTATGGCATCGTCTGGGGATGCAGTCAGTGGCTCCATACAGTCACAGCTTAGCGCGATGCCCACCATACCTAGTGGAGTATATACCAAAGATGTGCACAATGAAGCGTAAGCAACTCTTTTTTTGGGTGGAAAAAGGGGGGGGGTGGTGGGAGGGGTGGGGGGGGGGTGGGATGTCTGCATGTTACATTTCCTTGGGGTTTGGTGTGTGCTCAAAATAAGTGCATAATTATAATAGTAAAAGATAAAGGTAAAGTCAGGAGATGTGAACCAGTGTCATTGCACACGGTTATAAACCATGCGTGCTCTGCCACCAGTGGGGATAGCTGATAAAAACTGTCCGCCTGTGTCGCCGTTCGCACGTAACTCTGTAGCTACAGCGACGTTCCTCCATTTACCCCAGAGTTTCACTCTGATACCCATTTCCTAGAGGCTGGGTGAATCCCGGAAGCCGCCCGGTTTCGAACACCGACCGTGGGCTGCAGCGAGTCGCAGCTGGATTTGAAAACCAGCCTCTTATAGACAGCCGTAACACGGTCCCTGTAAATTTAAATAGTATTAATAACAATATTAGTAAAGTTAAGGACCTTCTGCCGCGCCTTCAGACGTGTTGGGCATATAGGACTAGACCTATTGTAGTGAGTCATTTTCTCCCCATTAAGTTATGCCCGATAGATGACGTCAGTAATAAATGTAAGGCGAATGTTTGACTGACTGAGATAACACGAGATTTATGTCTTGAGTTTCATGAGAGACATCTGAAAGTCAGGTTTTATGTGAAACATGATTGTTCACGTGAAACCATGAAGGTTGACTGGCATGAGTCGTGTGAAATGCGAGGTATCACGGGCTAGACACGACAATTCGTGAGAATGAAATTATCCAGAATATTCGAGAACAGGACAGATCAGAGGGCTATATAATAGCGAAGAAAAGGTTTGTGAGGCAGTCTCGTTTAGGCCAAGGGAAAAGGTGTACGTGTGGAAAAGTTCGGAAGAATGTTGTCGTCTGAATAGCGTGATTTCCCAATGCCTACCTGGCATAAAATAGCGGCTGACGGAAACGGTGGCCAGCTGTGAATGACTGTCGTTCTGGATGGAGGGAGCTACTGTGTTTTCTATGAATTGTGTTTCTATTCTACGATGTTACAAAGGTATGATTGACTGTTTAGATCATTGATTAAGAGTGCTACGGTTGTACATGAACATTTACTGACTGCAACAACAGCGAGTGAAAATAAACAGTACGTGTAACTTCTGAACGTCTGCCAGCGTCCATGTTTTCTCGTTCTCGTCAGTTGGTGAATGGAAAGATGCGGTGACTCATTCGAGCCAGCAATTAATAACAATGAAGATCACTGCACCTATATTTTATAGGCAACTCGGCACGTGGTGGGCGATGAGGTCAGTATCACGCCGGTGGCCTTACTTTCCCAGGACTTTACCTGATACCCATTTAAGGCAGGGTCGACCTGGGAGCCAAAACCATTTTTGAAAAACGTTCAGCTCCGTCAGGACCTGAATCTACGACCTTCAGATCCACAGGCGAGCGTCTAGACGCTACACCACGACGGATCCCTAATAATAATAATAATAATGATGATAATAATAATAATAATAATAATAATAATAATAATAACAATAACAATAATAATAAAAATAATAATAATAACAACAATAATAATAATAGCGACAATAGTAATAATAATAACAATAACAACAAATACAACAACAACAACAACAATAATAATAATAACCATAATAACAATAATAATAATAATATTAATAGCGACAATAATAGTAATAATAATATTAATTATAATAATAATAATCATCATCATGTGGTGAATTACAAAACAAATTTTTAAAGTAATATATTTTGATGATGTGTCAAGTCTAACTTACTTACGTTTCTTGTACCTTGGGGTGTCGAGGTTTGTCACAGAGATCGACAGACTTCTCTTCTCTATAGATTTTGTCACGTATAATTTACTTTCCTCTTCTAACTTGGGGTGTCGAGGTTTGTCACAGAGATCGACAGACTTCTCTATCTGCAGATTTTGTTCCATATAACTTACTTACATATAGCTTTTCTTCTAACTTTGGGTGTCGAGGTTTGCCAGATAGATCACTACATAATGGCATCCGTCAGTCCCGGGGGACTATGGAGATGTGCCGCTGGCTTTAGGAACAGCATCTGCTGTGACTGTAACGTCCGATGCGGGAATGGCAGTCTTTGCCACACAGGATACACACAAAAGCAGATACTCCCTCGTTGTGAGGCAGTTTTACTCTCCGGTGTCTCCTCTCCACAGCTCGTTGTGTTCGGTTTCTTTCAAAATGTGACAGTCCGTCTTTCACTTTCTGTCTCCATAGTAGTCAATCTGCAGCTGATTTTCCCCATGTCTCTGTGCCTATGTTGGTATCTATTAGGTCACGTTTGCATACATCTTTATAGCGCAGCTTTGGCCTTCCTGTAGGTCTATTCCCAGTTACCAATTCACCATATAGGAGATCTTTTGGAATACGACCATCCTCCATGCGGGAGACATGTCCCAGCCAGCCCAGACGTCTTTGCTTCAGTAAGATAGATCACTAGACCTCTCTATATGCAGATTTTGTTTCATATAACTTATTTACTTACTTAATAGCCCCTCTTCTACCATGGGGTGGTGTGGAGGTTTGCCAGACTTTTCTATCTGCAGTTGTTGTCACGTATAAACAAAGATTATAAACGGTTAGAAAGCCAGCCGCTGAGTCCCTTGACAAATTTTCTAGGAGAAGGGGCGCCTAAGGAGCATAAACCCCGAGGCTCCAACGCCTCTGCAGTGAAATGGTTTGCTTAGGAACACACCGTAGTCACAAATGATCAAAGTATACGTGCTGATTGGTTTTCAGAGATGTAGACGAAAGAAATAAGGATTACAGAACTCTTTAACCAGTATAATAATTGACAATTATGAAAATTAACGAACGAAAGACCAGGAAACGGTCTAAAAAACCCAGCAATAAAATATATTGTGGCCTTTTTACTTCTTAGCGTTTACTATTGTGGTTTTTTTTTTTTTTTTTACTTCTTAGCGTTCACTATTGTGGCCTTTTTACTTCTCAGCATTCACGAATTGTGCAAACTCCGGTGAAAGGACCTGGTTATTCGTCCACCCCTATACTTCAGTCTTCTTGATCCATAACTCGAGTCTTGTGTATACTTACCTTTTATAGATCTGTTTTTATTTTTTGGTATGCAGACTGTTGCTTCCTTGCAGATGTACTCCAACTTTGATGGAAACACCCCTAAATAGTCGACTCCCACGACATGCTTTTGGGCAGCGGATCTATTCTTTCTCAAGACTGGGCAGGTTTCTAAAGGTAAATTCAAAAGAGTCGCATATTCTCCATCGATACTTGACTGTGCGAGGGACTGGTTACTGGCTGTCAAGCTGCCTGGTTTCGAGAAATACCCCGAGTCAATCCGAAAGATCGGCCTGAGACCAGACTTTGTTCTTCACTCTGTGGCAAAATGCCAGCTGATCTCGACAAAGCTCAGCCTGCCGCCCGAGTCGCGGATGGAGGAAAATCACATGTACAAGCTCGAAAAGTACTGTGAATTGGTGGCCAGTCTGAGGAGAGATGAAGAGTACACAGTAAAACTCTTCGCCGTCGAGGTAGGCGCTAGAGGGCTAATCTCCACCTCCACATACAAGGTACTAAAGCACTTGGGAGTGTAAGGGAAAAAAGAGAAACGTGCACTAAAAACAACTGGGTGAAGCTGAAAAAAGGGCTTTGAGCTGGCTGTGGAAACAACGGAACGTCGTGGGGGATGGACCTCGGCAGACTGGTACGAGCCCCAAGTGGAAAAGAAATGTATATTCCTAAGCTAAAGTGTCCGATGAAGTCTGTCAGTGTTTCTCTGCCAATTGCCAAAGATTAACGTCTGTCCTATAAGCCAGCTGTGCACTTGTCACTCTGGTCGTGAAGGTGGGTGGCTTATTTGCTACCGCAGCGACAATATATAACCCCAAACCGCACAATTCCTGTTGCAAAGCCACCATTTCGTCTTGTCTGAACGTCTGATGAGCGCAGCAGAAAATGTCCGAGGCCTTTGGTCATGAATCAGGTCGGTCCACCCTCCGAGAAAAGTGTATAATGGGCCGCAACAATTGTGGACATGGGACCCTTTTACTGAAGATCGGTAAACCCCCTGCTGTGCATACTGCCACTGTGGAGTTCTTCGTATTCTTATTTGTACTCCGAACTGATCTCTAAACCCCTACGGGTAGTTGTGGCATTAAAAGACATAACACTCGTTTGAAAACCCTTTTTAAGAGAATTTCAAAGATAAGGGGTCGAAAGGTAGGCAGCGATAAAAGTGGGTGGATAACATCAAGGGATGGATGAACAGCAGTCTCAGAGAGTGTGCAACGAATGCTCGGCGGTGCAGATTCATCTTGTCTGTTTAAATAGAACATATTAACATCTCAACATCGACAAGCAGTGTAACATTCTCAACATCGATAAACAGCGCATTAAAACAGCACCGAGAAACAACATAAAAACCGATAAAAAAAACAACAATAGATAAATAAACGAGAATCGAAACAAGTGTTTAAAAAAACACCAGTATCAAGAAACTGTGTAATAAACCAATATCGAGAAACAATACAAGAAACCATCATCGTAAAGTAACCTAACAAACCAATTCATGCAGAAATAGTAAAAGAAAACAGTATGAGAAAACAGTCTAAAAAAACTTACATTGAGTAGCAAAATAACAAACCAATATCGAGAAAAAAATTGTAACTAACCAACTTAGAGAAACAACATAACAAACCTACTTCGAAAAACAAAAACAAAAACAATGAGAAACAACAGGCAAATCAAATACTGAGAGACTTTGTAATACATCAACACTCAGAAAGCGTCTGGCTAACCACCATCCAGAAACAGCATAATTAAATAAGACCTAGAAACAGCGATGCAAACCCACAAAGAGCTAAGAATCCAACATCGAGAAAGAGTGTAACATTCCAACACAGAGAAACTGTGTAACAATCCAACATCGAAAAACAGTGTAACAATCCAACACCGAGAAACAGTGTAACAATCCAAAACCGAGAAACAGTGTAACAATCCAACACTGAGAAACAGTGTAACAATCCAACATCAGGAAACAGTGTAACAATCCAACATCGGGCAACAGTGTAACAATCCAACATCGAGAAACAGTGTAACATTCCAAAATCGAGAAACAGTGTAACAATCCAACACCGAGAAACAGTGTAACAATCCAACATCGAGAAACAGTGTAGCAATGCAACATCGAGAAACAGTGTAAGAATCCAACAGCGAGAAACAGTGTAACAATCCAACATCGGAAAACAGTGTAACAATCCAACATCGAGAAACAGCGTAACAATCCAACATCGAGAAACAGTGTAACAATCCAACAGAGAGAAACAACATGACAAACCCTTCTGTTTGTCCTTGAAGTTGTCCTTGTAGATGTGATAGGCTCGTGTGTGGCTACGGATAAGGTTGTGACCAACTTGATAAACTCCATCTCCAGGTTCAATAAATCCTGGGGCATGGACTCCCAAGCCGTACCCCAGCCAGGCGATCACGTACGGCTCGTTTATAGTCACCCAGTACTTTATCTGCAGATAGAAAATACGATGACATATTGATCGATGGGCAGTCAGACTGATGCACACACATATAGACAGACAATGATTTACAGAAACATGTAGATAGACAAAATACTGAAGAAACAACAGACATGGACCAACATGCTAATACACCCACACGAAGGAAACTGTTGATTTAGGAACTCATATAGAAAGACGGATAAACCGAGATACCGACAGTTTATACATAAAACTAGTGACAGACGTAGTGGAAGCACAAGGAGAGACAGAGAAACAGACAGGTGGGGGGAAGGATCTAACAAATGAAAGTAAGTTTATTTTACACCGGTAAAGAACTGGATACACTAAGGGTAAGATGGGCTTGAGGTTGGCTACCTCATCCTGTAAAAACAATAGCCACAAAAATCAACCAACCATGAAACAGTCAAACAGAAAAAAACAAGGAAAACCCAGCCAACAAAGCTGAGGGGAGGCTCTTCTAGAAGAGGTACAACTCGTGTGGAGAAAGCCGAAGGGAGTCAGTATTGTCGACGTACCTCCTTTCACCTAGGAAATCCTTCAGAACTGGTACCTGGAGTGTTAGAACTTTGTACCAGGTAGGAAGAGTTATGAAAAGGAAGAGGAAAAAAAAATAAACACATGGAGAAGGGAACTAGAGAGTAAAGTTAATTAACAAGGTGGTGAGGACAATTACTGCAGAGGAACGAAACTCCGACTCTACAAGAGCATCATTTTGCCAGTTCTTCTTTATGGAGCGGAATGCTGGAGAATGACCAAAAAGGATACACACAAGCTGTCCACCTTTCACCACACATGACTACGTAGAATTATCAAAATTTTCTGGCCAGATACAATCTCAAACACTAAACTACTTCAAGTCACAAACCAAGAAACTTTAGACAGTATGATAACCAAGAGAAGATGGAAATGGCTTCGCCACGTTATGAGAATGAATCCTGATTTAGCCGCCAAAACAGCTCTCACATGGACACCAGAGGGAAAGAGAAAACAGGGGGGCCCAAAAACAACATGGAGACGAACGACGGAAAGTGACCTGAGTGCGGCATCTTTCACATGGAAAACTGCACTGAAGATTGCACAGGACAGGAAAGCATGGAAAGACTCTCTGAAGCCTAATGTGCCACTAGGCATACCAAGAACTGATGATGATGATGAGGACATGGGGAGAGCTGCATGCGATAGCGAAGGACAGAACGACTTGGCGTGAATTAGTTGAAGGACAATGTTCCACATGGAGTTAAAAAGTCAGAAGAAGAAGAACGTAGAATAATAAACCAAACAAAACAGAACTGCTACTATAAATTATCAGTCGTAACTCGCTGAGGGATATATTGAACATGAGACACGATAGCTTATTGACCTGTCCCATGTGCAGTAAGGATGATCTTTTCTAGAAACCATGAGTTGTTAACCTTTTTGTTTCGGTACTATGGATATCGCAACCTTTCGGCCTTAATTCCATGATAGGTATCGTAACTCTGGGAGAAAGTGTGGCTTTCTGCCTACCCCCGGGAGTGAACCCGGACCACAAGGAGTTCGGCACCCGGTCATCGCGCAGCACTGTTTAGCCAGCTACGCTTGAGAGCGGGCCGACGGATAATCTGTCGATTAGTTAGCTAACTAATTAACTATGCTGCCCACAAGTTTCTCAAACAAAATTCTCAAAAATCTGTCTCTGCTGACGCAAGGGCCTAGCCCATCTTACAAACCTTTGACTGGCCGGCTCTCCACCACTAGGTGGGGAATGTATGTATGACAAGTTAGATATTTTAAGGGCTCTTTGTAAGCGAGTGAACAGTGCAGAGGCGCAGATAGATCATTACGGTCTTAGGAGTATGGCGCTGGGATAAATTACCAGGGTATCTGGCCGACGCTCAACACTCAGGGTAAGGATAAGACGGATATACAATCCGATGGTTACTGGTGCTCTCAGAATTGTAACTCTTCGCTTGCTGTTGAAGATGGGGACGGAGCACTCATGGGAGTGTCCCGAGTGCTGTAATGTCGATACTTAATTCAACATTCAACAATTTATGAACATGTATTGCATTCATTGTAACTAGCAAGAACTGCAGATAACACCATGTTGACGTAGCAGTTACAGGTGTCCCATTATAACTCCTTTGTAGGCTGAACGGGGTATGTAAGATTTGACCTGTCCGTCTACCATCTAGACTGCGATTTTGTAATCTAGGCTGTCAAATCTTTATGTTGGAGCCCGGAGGAGGAGAAGCAACAGCGGCAAAACATTCTTGTCAAACATATGTCCTTCCGTGTGAGTTCTTGGGGTCCCATGTGAAGCAAACACTAATAGATCCACTGTTGCCCTAACACGCACGTCGTAAAAAGCGGTTTATTGGAGGTGTTTCCTTTGAAGTCGAAGTGCATTCACCTGAGAGGCTAGGAACCAACAGTCTGCATACAAAACAAGGCAAATCTGTGAAACAAATCTGCATGCATAACTCTCATCATTGTTTTTCCACAGTGGCATGGAAGAATATCATCAGTACAATTGACCCAGAACACCACAGACCGAGATCTGTGGCGACGCATGAACGCCTATGGCAGCTGTCAAGGCACTTGATGATGATGCATAACTCAAATTCTAAAACAAACTATAGGGCTTTCGGCCCGAGTTTACAGGCCGGCGAACGTTAAGAAGAAGAAGAAGAAGAAGAAGAAGAAGAAGAAGGAGAAGAAGAAGAAGAGGAAGAAGAGGAAGAAGAAGAAGAAGAAGATAGAAAGAAATGTCTTGGATGATGTTTATACCCACCCTATCTCCAAACTTCTCAAAACATAGTCGGGCGTATTCACCAAATATGTTCACCGTGCTTTCATTTTTCCAGCCACCGTAGTTTTCGAGATTTTGAGGAAGATCAAAGTGAAATAAAGTGGCCATGGGGATGATACTGTGGAAAAAACAATGATGAGATATCATTTCGTTAACTGTGGGCAAATCAACGATGAGAAATCAATTCATGAACTGTGGGAAAAAGCAATGATGAGATATCAAATCGTGAACTGTGTGAAAAAAAACCAAATACAATGATGAGATATCAATTGGTGAACTGTGTGAAAAAGCAATGATGAGATATCAATTCATGCACTGTTTGAAAAGCAATGATAAGATATCAATTCATGAACTGTGGGAAAAACAATGATGAGTATCAATTCATGAAGTAAATCTTCATAGAGTGCTTTGCCGACTGGGGTGGGCGATCATGCATCGCCACAATCTGCGATCTACAATTAAGTGTATCAGCTCGTGTATTGACACCCGTCTATGCCATAACGAAAGATTGGCAAGAATCATCTCGCGTTTGTCTTCCTCTGTTTCTCTTTCCACAGACCTTTCTAGTGGTCATATTTTGTTACACGTTACCATATGCCACAGAGGCCCTTACGCCCCACATCTAACTAGTGAGAACTTGACCTCTTACTGAGCCAGAGGCACTTAACACCTCGACACAACACCCGCCTCATTTACATGATTTTTTTCGTGTTTTCTATTATATATGCCACAGAACAGTATGTAATGACCCTCAATGACCCCAAAACCTTCTCATGTAAATAGCTTACATGACATCTTGACCCCTCCCTGATCCACCGAGACCGCTCTTTTGCAATAATTTTTCTATTGTATTCTATATACAGTTATAGCACCAAATGACCCGGACACCATTGTTCATTGGCACCTTTCCGTCTTTCTATACGATAGTGTTATATTGCGCTATAAGGAGGCATGAGACTCACAGCCTATGGCGATGGCGAGTGTAACTAGAAAGACCCGCCCGTGTCAAGAAAAGTCTTCCACGATGATATCATGGGATTTCAGGACCATTGTTAACAACATTTGTGTTTAATAAGTTTCTTTTCAAACGCTTAGCTCTCATCCTTTCTGCAATCATTTCTTCCTTCAGTCTCATTCCCTTCCTGATATGCCTTTTCCACACAACACGGACCATGGCATTTTGTACCCATGAGTCCGCCTCAATACCTGTATCATTCATGTCCCGCTTGCACACATCTTTATAACGTAGTAAAGGTCGGCCTCGACATCTTCTTCCTGTCTTTAATTCACCATAAAGGATGTCCTTAGGGACTCTGCCATCCTCCATTCTCCAGGTGTGACCCAGCCACCTGAGCCTTCTGCTCTTTCCAGTACCTCAGTGTTTGTGATTTTTTCTTGCCACTTAATGCCAAGTATTCTTCTTAGGCATCTCCTGTGAAAGCTATTAAGCCGTCTCTCTTGGTGCAAATAGGTTGACCAAGCTTCACTGCCATAAAGCAGAGTCTCGAGAAAACAAGCCTGATAGACAAGGGTTTTTGTTTTAATTGTGAGCTTTCTGTTCTCCCGAACCCTCTTTGTCAATCTGCTCATTGTTGTTGCTGCCTTAACTATCCTGATGTTGATTTCTTGGTCCAGCGATAGTTTACTATTCACTGTGGAACCCAGATAGGTAAAATGGTCTACTGTCTCGAACTCTTCGCCGCCAATGTAGACTGTAGGTCTATCCTTGACACCTTGCACTATAACCTTTGTCTTCTTTTGGCTGACTGTTAGTCCAAATTCATAGCATGCATCAGCAAAGGCAGATAATAAATCTCGCTGATCCACCGAGACCGCTCTTTTGCAATAATGTTTCAATTGTATTCTATATAAAGTTAAAGCAAAAACAAATACCCCGGAGACCAGATACCCCTTGAAACCTCTCCTATAACTAGCTGACACGACAACATAAACCCTAACTGAGCCACCAGCATCTTACACTATGATATGACATCCGCCATTTTGCCACAATTTTTCATTTGTACTCTATACAACGTTATAGCACCATATGCACAGGAGATCATGATGACCCCTGCCCCTCTACGGTCTGTTTGTAGATAACCACCTATAGCCGCCTAGGTGTATACTACCATAACTACAGGTTATATGCTAACAACCGACACCACACAAGACCCTGGAGAAACATGACCGTCCACCCCCCCCCCCCGACCCTCCACCCGAGCCCAGCTGACACCCACTTCTATGATTAGGTTTACATTTTTTACTATATAACACATATACTTTTCTTTCCCCCGCCGCCAGGCCAATCAATACCTGTAGTTTTCTTTTTTATTCTTCTATAGAACCTCTGTTAGAGTTGAGCGTCTGGGAATAAAAACACTGAATACAAATATTATCAACCACGGTCCTGAAATCCCGAGCTATACTTGTAGAAGGCTTTTTTTAACGCGGGCGGGTCTTGCTAGTCACACTCGCCATCGCCATGGGTTGTGAGTCTCGAGCCTTCTCATAGAACAATATAACACTATCGTCTGGAAAGACGGAAAGGTGCCTAATACGTCAGCGTCCTTTATTGTACTCACTTTTTAGTTAGCAGGGCATCGATGAGGCGGTTGTAGTAGTCAATGCCGGCTTGGTTTATGTTGGCTGTTGTCCCATCTGGCAGGATTCGAGTCCAGGCGATGGAGAACCGGTAGAAATCAACCTGGTGGTTAACAACGTGTGAACAAAACAAAAGTTTTCAAGTTAAGGGAATTAACTTTAGTGCACGGGGCGTTAACCAGTATGGTTCAGCCTATTCCGACTTCATTTCATCAGTTGCTTCCCATATCTATCTATCTATCTATCTATCTATCTATCTATCTATCTATCTATCTATCTATCTATCTATCTATCTATCTATCTATCTATCTATCTATCTATCTATCTATCTACCTACCTACCTACCTACCTACCTACCTACCTACCTACCTACCTACCTACCTACCTACCTACCTACCTACCTACCTATCTATCTATCTATCTATCTATCTATCTATCTATCTATCTATCTATCTATCTATCTATCTATCTATCTATCTATCTATCTATCTATCTATCTATCTATCTATCTATCTATCTATCTATCTATCTATCTATCTATCTATCTGTCTGTCTGTCTGTCTGTCTGTCTGTCTGTCTGTCTGTCTGTCTGTCTGTCTGTCTGTCTGTCTGTCTGTCTGTCTGTCTGTCTGTCTGTCTGTCTGTCTGTCTGTCTACTTTTACCCCACCAGGACATCACACAAGCGATAAACACCCGATGACACAAAGTGCCACCCTGAGGATCCCCGTAGAGAGGTCCCAGAAACCGCGTTCAGACATTTGACCGTATTTATGTCCGGGCTATATTGCGGGCCCTGGCAAGAGCCAGCGTGGGAGCTTCAAATAACGAAAAACTGCATCCCAATAACGGATGACAAAATGTATAAGTAACAATATATCCCATACCGCTGAGTCTATCTCTATAGAACAACTATCCGCATAACAAAAGTGTCGCACAAAACACAGCTTTACTGCGTTCTTAGTCCAGGTGGTATCAATATCATAAATACTTTCAGCTAAATTGTTTTACTCTTTTCACATTTTAAATGTTAATTATTATTTTTTCCCCCTTTTCTTTCATATTATTGCTTTATTCTATCTCTTATCAGTATAATTTATGTATCATTACCATTTGCATTTCTTTTATTCCAACCATTATATTATATTTTAAAAATTTACTTTTTATTTTTTGCGATTATACTTTTTTAGCCATTGTTTATTTTATTTTATTTCATTTATTCCCATCACATTTTTTTAAAAACGTTGCTCACGTCACCAATTAGAGATATGTATACTCTCCTCTCCTCGTTGTTGTTTTTTGTGTGTGTGTAGTTCACTTCATGTTTGAGAAAGCCTGACAAGCTGAAAAGTTACGTTATTTGTGTTGTTTTGTGCACGTTTTTCTGCTTCCCCATTTAGTTAAGCTTTTTAGTCAAATTTTCCTGGAATTCTTACAGCTTTACTGCGATACGTTCGCCTTGTGGTCAAGACATACGCCGATATCAGCAAGCCCCGAATTAGTAGATTTTTACGACATGCTCGGTAAGGTTTAAGGGTCTACCCCCAACACCAACACCACTACCCCAACCCCTAAAAACAATAGGACTCCAAAACTACGTTAGGTACGTATCCTTCAGAGGACGTTGCAGAACTAACTCTAGTATTTTTGGGCTGTAGTTTTTCTAGGCACATTTTACGTTATGATGTTTGCCATGTGCAAGGCACATGATGGTGATACTGAGTTTGCCATTGCTTACTAAACGCTCAGCTCTTGATACCACTGTCGAAATCAACACAAGACGGCCTGCTGCCAAATCGCTTGCAGCTGGAATCGACCCCATCACCTCAGCATTACGCAGCGCGTTGGCAATGCCTAAGCCTGATATTAGTTAGTTAGTTAGTTAGTTAGTTGGGTTATCCTCATTGCACTCCGGACATGTCCATAGGTGCTCAGATCCTCCCCTCAGTATGAACCCCAACGTCCGATGGCTAATAGTACCAGTTCTATGTTGATTAACAAGTCTTCTGGCGTAGCTGGTGTGCGTCTCGTTTTTTGCTGTGCCGATCTTAATTCCCAAGTCTGCCATTCTGGAGAGTGATGTGGATTCACTGCCACCAAAGTCCTCTATTCTTCCCATTTCTCTGAGGGCATTGATAATATCAGCATGATCCATAGGCTGACCGTCGGTAGTGATAGCGGATCCAGCCAACCTGTCAGCTCTTTCATTTCCATCGACGCTTGCGTGTCCCGGAACAAAAATAAAGGTGACTCCACGAACAGTGGACAGTATACACCTAAGCCTGATATGTTGACCCGAAACCAAAACGACGAGGATAAGTTTGAGAACTAATAATAGTAGATAATCCTACGAACCCCCAAGTTCTCCAACAACTTGACATCCTCCTGGTAGAGGTGGTAGCTGTCGCATGCAACGTCTCCGGTTTGGGCCTGGTGTATTTTGTTACTGTGAGCGAACGTATCCCAGATACTGACTCCTTTTCCTGGGTAGAAACACAAGGCATAATTAGATTTGTTTAGAACATACGTCTGTATGACGTCTAGTGCACGGGGCGTTAACCAGTATGGTTCAGCCTATTCCGACTTCATTTCATCAGTTGCTTCCCATACCTATCTATCTATATACGTCTGTATGACGTCTAGTTCCTTCTCTCGTTCTTCTTTCTTCTTCTTGCTGCTTCCTTCTTCTTCCTTCTTCATCTTCTTCTTCCTCCTTCTTCATCTTCCTTTTTCTTGTTATTTCTTCTTTTGGTTCTTTCTTCTTCTTCTTCTTCTTCTTCTTCTTCTTCTTCTTCTTCTTCTTCTTCTTCTTCTTCTTCTTCTTCTTCTTCTTCTTCTTCTTTTTTCTTCTTCTTCTTTTTCTTCTTCCGTTTGCTTGAGAATCAGCTGTTCACACATGTCGTCATTGTAACTGACTCACAGAGCATGTTGAGAAAGGTGGAGACAGGCATGCTCCGTGCAGAGTGGCAAACATCACTTCAGAGGCCCCGGGTAGTTAGCATCCTTTGGATATTTTCTCCAGGTCAAGCCGGTGTCTTGGGAAATGAGCAGGCGGTTAGACTGGCCGGTTCTACACCACTTGGTGGTGAACTGATGTATGACAAGCTGGATGTTGTGAGGGTCCTTTGGGAGCGAGTGAACAGTGCCGAGGAACAGATAGATTATTACGGTCTGAGGAGAATGGCACTGCGAGTAGTTTCAAGGGAATCTGGCTGACGCTCGACACTTCTGCTTCTTCTGCTGCTGCTTCTGCTGCTGCTGCTTCTGCTGCTGCTGCTTCTGCTGCTGCTGCTGTTGCTACTGCTGCTGCTGCTTCTGCTTCTTCTTCTTCTTCTTCTTCTTCTTCTTCTTCTTCTTCTGCTTCTTCTTCTGCTTCTTCTTCTGCTACTTCTTCTGCTTCTTCTTCTTCTTCTTCTTCTTCTTCTTCTTCTTCTTCTTCTTCTTCTTCTTCTTCTTCTTCTTCTTCTTCTTCTTCTTCTTCTTCTTCTTCTTCTTTTTCTTCTTTCTCTTCTTCTTCTTCTTCTTCTTCTTCTTCTTCTTCTTCTTCTTCTTCTTCTTCTTCTTCTTCTTCTTCTTCTTCTTCTTCTTCTTCTTCTTCTTCTTCTTCTTCTTCTTCTTCTTCTTCTTCTTCTCCATCTTCTTCCACTTCTTTTTTCTCTTTCTCCTTCTCTTCTTCGTTCACCGGCTGTAAGCTCCGACGGAAAGTCCTGGTTGTTTGTCTGTTCGGGCTTTTTTTTGGCTTTGTGCCAGGGCTTGAGTTTTTGGTGTGCAGTTAGTTGTTCCCCACGGCCCGGGAAGATGCACTCAGAAGAATGCTCCCTATTGGCCCACTGCTACGACATTCTTGTTGGAGTCAGTGGGTCTGTTCTTGATCTCCGCATAATGGTGCCACGTAACCCACACTGGGAGGCGTGTTCTTAACCAGAGGTTCCCAAACGTTTTAGATCCACAGCCTCAGTTTTAGTTTAAATATATATCTCGATGGAAATATAATCATTACCATGTGCTGTGATGATAAGCATGATGTTTGACCGAGCAGCAGTGTCGCGCGTCCGATCTTTGCCCATGTCAAGCTACATGCACGCAGCCAAACCATCAAGATATTTATCTGCCAACCTGTGTCGACTATACGTGAGAAAGGAGACTGATAACGAGTAGGAATGTCACGAGTGCGGTGATGTAAATTAATTAATTAATCAATTCATTCATACATTCATTCACTTGCTGAATGGATTGGAACAAAACAGGGTAATGCATATTTTACTGGGATTCTTGAAGAAAAATAACCAGAATTAAAGCTTTCTCTCTGTTAGCTCACCATCAGCGTTCCAACCACCTTCAATCTGATATGCAGACGAGGCCACGCCCCATAAAAAAGCTTCCGGGAATCGCCCTTCGTAGAACTCGTCCCGATCTTTGGCGTCTGAAACAATAATGGGAGCCTTTGCTTACATGTTCACGTGTAGTGGTGTGTGTGTGTGTGTGTGTGTGTGTGTGTGTGTGTGTGTGTGGTATGTGTGTGTGTGTTTGTTTGAGTGTGTATACATGTTTTTGAGTGTGAGAGTATGTGTAAGTGAGTGGCGATATTTGTGTGACTGTGCGGGAATTCGTGTATATTTGTGTATATCTGTGGCATTTCTGTGTGTGTTTGTGTGTGTTTGTGTAATGTTTGTATCTATATTTTGTGTGTGAGGGGACTTGGTTGCACCAAAATCACCATCATCATCAAGTACCTTGCCAGCTAGCGTTCGTCTATATATACATGAGGGTGTCCGTCTGTCTGTCTGTCTGTCTGTCTGTCTGTCTGTCTGTCTGTCTGTCTGTCTGTCTGTCTGTCTGTCTGTCTGTCTGTCTGTCTGTCTGTCTGTCTGTCTGTCTGTCTGTCTGTCTGTCTGTCTGTCTGTCTGTCTGTCTGTCTGTCTGTCTGTCTGTCTGTCTGTCTGTCTGTCTGTCTGTCTGTCTGTCTGTCTGTCTGTATATGAGTGTGTATGTTTGAGAATGTAAGAGTATGTGTACGTGTTGTGTGTGTGTATACATGATGTGTGTATGCATTATTCTATAATGTATATGTTTTTATTATAAACATAACATGCATCATTGATAGCAGGCATTGGTACTCTGAAAGATGAGTGCTTAAAAGTGTCGAATGCCAGACGGGCATGCGTGCCCAATTTGTAACCCTTTGAAAATCAAGTTTGTTCGTTCGTTCGTTCGCTCATGTACCTTCGCAGATCTCGGTCGGGATTAATTCCACTGATGATACTCCTCCATGTCACTATCCTAAGCCATCCACTATCGTTTCTCTTGGTCTTCCTCTGCCTCTTCTATCATTGATCTTTCCAGTCGTCACGATATTTCTCAATGCTCCTTTTCTCATCACAGGACCAAAGATCTTTGTCTCCACATTGTTTCATATAATGTTTTACTTTCGCCAGCCATTTACTTCCATACAACAAAACATATAACATTTCAGTACTCGTTCCGCACGGAAATACAGACATATAATGGCGAACATTTGCATTTACACTAGGAGAAAATCTCTCTGTGTAAACATCACCTAACCGACACAAGCCTTTCATTAAACGTATGCAGAATCTTTCTGCAACGTGAAACTTTGTCTTGGCCTGCTGGACAGAGCTCACTTTTACAAGGATCGTTCCAGGCACGTTATATTATAAAATTAGTTCCATTTTATTTATAGATCTAAAATGTCTTCTGTTTTTTTTTTTAAATGCAGATTTGATCGTTTTGCTGTTCTTCATTTTGTGCATTTGCCCTTAAAAGGGTGGCTGGCACATTGTGTTGTGGTTTACAGCAAGGTTGCGAAATTACAGCCTTTCTGTCTAATTTCTAAAAACCCCTTTTAATTGCAAATAACGTCTTACTTGTTCTGGAAAAAAGGCGGTGGGGTGCGTGGAGAGTATGTGGGTCTTTATTTGTCATCAACGTTGGGCTGGCTAGAGAATACAGACTCTAGGGCGTGCCGCAAAGAAGATTGAGGTTCTGTTAAGGATCTGCTGATAGATGATGGGATAGGCGTGTTCTCAGGGACTCAGTGATTCTGTCTGTTGCTTGAATATATTGGCTGGCGCTGTTTTTTTCCCCACGCAGTGTGCACATTGCTGTTTGTTTAGGTTCATTTTCATTTGCTAGCAGAGCTGAATGGTCGAGTCATTTCACCTCTTGCGTCACACTTAAAGTGGATATTTTCTTCATCATTCACTGTTATTTCGGTTCTTCATCTTCACCCTGTGCGATTTATCATAGGTTTTTCTCAGAAATCTCTCTCTCTCTCTCTCTCACACACACACACACACACGCACGCACGCACACGCACGCGCACACACGCGCACGCGCACACACGCGCACGCACACGCACGCACGCACGCACACGCACACACACACACACGCACGCACGCGCACACACACACACATATATATATATTATATATATATATATATATATATATATATATATTGGGGGGGGGTCTCTTTAAGTACTATATAAATGAACTCGTTTACCTGTATATATTTGTAATAATACTATAGAAACAGCACTGTATCTGCGAGTCCGACTCGTAATTCCAACCTACCGCGATCGAAACCCACTGCTAGCTGTGTGGATTAATATCATGGTATGGGGCGTCGCAGGTCGACCCAGCCTAAAATAGGTACCAGGATGGCTGTCCTGGGAAAGTAAATACCTCCGGCGTAATGCTGACCACAGTACCCCACCTAGTGCCGATGGTCTGTAAAAATATGGGTTGCTCTTCCTATTTACTCGATACGCCTAAAGCGTGAAAAGGGATCTTTACTTTTTACTGTATCTGCATTTGCTAGGGTAACAACAATGTCTGCTGTCTGATCCGTAAACTACTTACAGGCCCGGTAGTTGAGAAGCCTGTCATCAAAACCCCTGTTTTCGACCAGCAACCGGTAAAACGTGGCCGAGGAGCGTGGATAGCGCGGTCTGTCTCTGGCAGTCATATCCACAAAGTGAAGTCCGGTCTTGCTAGAGAATCCATGGTTCCAGTCAAATCCATCAATCAGGGACCACACGAAGTATCCTCTAACGTCACTTCCGGCTTTGATTGCTGAAAAAAGAGGTTTGCATTGTTTATTAAGCTAACTACCACTTCTGCTGCTACTGGGTTTTCCTGCTGCTTCTGCTTCTTCCTTCTCCTTCCTCCTTTCTTCCTTCATCCAAGTGTGCCTCTTTGTTGTGTATGTGTATGTGTGCCTGCGTGTGTGTGTGTGTGTGTGTGTGTGTGTGTGTGTGTGTGTGTCTGTGTATATGAGACTGTGTATATGTGTCTGTGTATGCGTGTGTGTCTCTGTGTTTGTCTGCATGTTTGATGTGACAGCGTTTGTGTCTGCGTGTGTGTCTATGTGTGTCCCCGTATGTGTTTGTCTGTGTATGTTTGTCTGCGCGTGTGTCTATGTGGCTGTATGTATGTGTTTCTGTGTGTGGGTGTCTGTATGTTTGTCTGCGCGTGTGTCTATGTGGCTGTATGTATGTGTCTCTGTGTGTGGGTGTCTGTATGTTTGTCTGCGTGAGTGTATGTGTCTGCGTTGAATACTGAAAAATGCTATGAAGACAAGAAGAAAGAAAAAAAAAAGCTGAAGAGGAAAAGGATGAGAAGAAGAGAGAGTAGAGAGAGGGAAAGGAGAAAACGAATAAGAAGCAGAAGTATCTGACCTTGTAAGACATGGTTGCTGTAGTCTCTGATATAGTCTATCCTGTCTTGATCTTGCAGTGTCCCACAAGTCTCTAGCCCGTTTGCTGTCACATAAATGGCAGGACTGTTGTATGTTCTGGTCAGGTAAACCAAAAGATCCCTCAGACCAAACCCCATGAGACGTTTGTCACTGTCGGGGTTTGTCTCCGGACGGTACTCCAGTCTAGTGAAACAGTGAGTTCGTTTAGGTTTATGCAGAAAACAAACAAGATTATCCTATAGTTCTTCGGAGATTATCCTTTAGTTCTCGGGAGATTATCCTTTAGTTCTCGGTAGAGTATCCTTTAGCTCTCAGGATCTGCCGTGGCGTAGCGGCTAGACGCCCGCCTGCGGATCAGAAAGTCGTAGGTTCAGGTCCCGACGGTTGTGGACTTTTTCCCAAATTGACGTTGGCTCCCAGGTCGACCCAGCCTCAGGTGGATACCTGGTAACCTCCTGGGAAGTAAACAGCAGCCACTTTGATGCCGATTACATCTTCCTCCAAGTGACGATTCATCATCATCATCAGTTCTCGTTATGCCTAGTGGCACATGAGGCTTCAGAGAGGACTTTCCCAAGTGCCGATTGGTCTCACAAACATAGGTCTAGCCCTGTACCACCAATACACCTAAAGGTTGCGGAAAGGGCTCTTTTTTTTTTTTACTGTGTGGGTTTAACTCTTTCGAACCCACCGATTTGACAGCAGATGCCCAATGTGACAATAATCACAGCGAATAATATATCAATCCTTCACTTCTAAAACGCAGCATACATCAGCGGCCGCGTTAGCGCAGTCGATTAGAGTCTCGCTTTCAAATCCAGCTTCGACTGGCTGCAGCCCACGGTCGGTGTTCGAAACCGGGCGGTTCTTGGGGTTCACCCAGCCTTTGGGAAATAGGTACCAGAGTTGACACTCTGGGGTAAACGGAGGAACGTCGCTGTAGCTACGGAGTTCCGTGCGGACGGCGACACAGGCGGGCAATTTCTTATCAGCTGTCCGTAATGGTGGCAGAGCACTTATGGTTTATAACCGTGTGCAATGACGCTGGTTCGCATCTCACGACTTTAAATTTTTTTTTTAAACTCAACATACAGTGAGCTACATGTTCAGTACCTAGACATATTTCCTTATTGTAATCAGACTAAAATATCTAGTATTATAAAAATTGAATGTTCTGAACGCATCGCTATGTGTTGTAATCTTATTTGGCCGAGAGCTGAAGTTTCTTCTAGTGGGAACAGCACAGGTGAAGGTTTAGTCAGCGGCCACAAGTCGTTACCTAGGCAATGGTAATTGTATAACCTAGTTGAATTCTGGGCGAAGAAAACAAAGGCTGGGGCAGTTGAGGTGTTTCCATTGTCCAAGTCGGACGTGTGGAAACATTTGGCTCTGTCTGAGGATATTATAAAAACGTTTCTCTTTGTGAGGTTTTGATTTACCGTTGTTTGCGGGACACAGTTTAATGTCTATTTAGTTTATTATAATGGCAGGAGTCCATTGAGAAAAGATTGTAATCTTTTATATCGTCAGAGTAGATAATAGAGATTTATTATCGTACATGTTTTAATGAATAATCCTCATCATCTTGTGACGTGTAATGTTAATGACATTAAAGTTTATGTGGCCTGTCACAAGCGTTATTGTTGACTCGCAAAGACAACTGTATTAAATGATGCTGTGCCACGTGTGCCAGTTATAGTATGCAAGACTCCACTGTAGCACATCCACCAAGGAGATATCCAGCGGAATGTTAGAGTAGGCACCCTAGGCCTAAATACTTGGTTGTTGAATATACAGTGTACAACAGAGTGTACAACGCTATGGTCATGTGATAGGAGTCCGTTGACAAGGAAATGTCTACGACAAAATCAACATCGGCGTAGAGTTTTCTACTGCTACTTATTCCCCCTCCCCGATAGCTCAACCACCACTACTCCTACAATAATATCTAGAAAGGCTAACGCGGTGAACGAATGCCCAAAGAAGTCGGATGTGTCGGCCGAAAGGCGCCAATTTCGTAGCTAGGCTGTAAACAGGCACGACTCAGTTACGACACTCGAGCGAACGAGATGAAGAAGAAGAAGAAAAAGCCTACTACAATACTCTCTCAATCTGTTCATAAAATTATGGCTTCTTTTCTTTCAGTGTACGCTTCATACCCTTTGTGTATTTGAAGTGTTAAGCATTACCAAACAAACAGAGACTGTAGATGAGAGGCCAAATGGAAGAAACGACAACACAAGTAGCAAGAATTACCGAACTGAATCAATAAGGCTTATATATTGCTCAAACTGTCCTCATCGTCAGCACTTTCCACTTCTACCGTTGAGCGGCAGGGGGAGGAGCAGTTTGCAATCCATTGTTTGATGGGCAGCAATAGCTATGGTCATTCCATGTCGATGTAGAAGCTCTTCACTGTCATGAATCCATATTCTCCCAGGGTAGGTTCTCGCTTTCACTTCAGATTGTTTCATGTTTAGGGCCTGCGTTGGCATTTGTTCTTACTAAATGACCAAACCATTTGATCTTCTGTTTCTCCACAAATTTGCTTCATGGTGTTGTTCCTACAGTCTGTCTGAATTAATATCCTTTCTAAGTCTTCGATGGAAAAGTTGGCGGCTTTTTTTCAGGCATCTCATTTCACAGGTGTTAATTTTGCGTAGGTTAGCCTTTGATGATGTCAAAATCTGGCACTGGTAGCACAGTGTTGGTAAGAATATGCTGTTTATAATCTATTTCTTGGCACTCATACCTATGTTTGGATGTCTCAATAACGGTCTCAGGTGCGCTGGCTCGTTGGCATCTTGTTTCTATTTCCCGATCTGTTCTTCCGGCCTTCTATAATATTCATTCATTCATTCATTCAGTAGCATGTCCCTCGCGGAACCTCGCTGCCATAACAACCCTCCGGAAAACCTTCCTATCATGAGCAAGATGTCCTGCGTCTGATACACCCATCTGGAGATCATCTGCCACATCCTGCACCCATCTTCTCCTTGGCCTTCCTCTTCCTCTCTTCCCAGGCATATACCCCTCCATTATTGTTCTCTCTAGACCTCCATGACGTTTCAAGTGACCAAAATATTTCAATTTTCTTTGTTTTATTGTCTTTACTAGCCAACCTTCTTCAATATTCAGCTCTTGAAGTATGGATGCATTTGTTCTTTTCTTTACCCAAGATATTCTTAGAACCTGTCTGTAACATTTATATTCAAATGCATTTATGCGCTGTTCCGCTTGTTTAGTAAGTGTCCAGGTCTCACAGGCGTATGTTGCAATGGGAAAGATGCATGCTCTTAAAAATCTGACCTTTGTAATTCTATCTGTACAATTCCATAATTTATTCAGTTGTTTTAGTCTTTGAAGAGCAATTGATAGTCGCCGTTTGATTTCTTTCATTGTGTCACCATTGTTGGTAACCAGTGACCCAAGATATTCGAAATTTTCCACCACTTCCAATCTTTCCTCATTAACATATATTTCCTTCTCCATGGCAGTTTTGTTTGTATGCATTATCTTTGTTTTTGCTGTGTTAAGAAATAAGTTATGATTTTCACTATTTCTTTGGAGTGAGGTTAATAAGTTTTCTAAACCATTTTGTGTGATGTTGATAGTAATACTGTATCATCAGCATAACGAATTTCTGGTATTTCATGACCACCGATGTTGAGGGCATCATATTGTTCCTTGTTTATATCATCTCTTACATTTCTCATTATATTTTCGGCGTACAGGTTGAACAAATACGGTGACAGCACACATCCCTGACGGACTCCTTGCTTGATGCCAAACCAGTCTGATGTCTCTCCATCTATTCTGACTGCTGCTTGTTGGTCTTGATAGAGCATTTTAATGAGCTGCACTATAATATACTTTCTAGATATATAATTTCTCTAACTTGCTTCAGACAAGAACCATTCAACCCGATTAGCAGCGGACTATGAACTCTTCTGACCTTCATTACTTCAGTTTTAGTAGTATTTATTTTTATCTTATATCGTCTATTTCAATAACTACTAATATATATATGCATTACATATGTCTAACGTGCTGTAAGGAAAACATAGCAAAGCTCAAATGGAAGTTAAAGAAAGGAGGGAAAACAAATGTTATACACATGTGAAACCTGAAGCAAACACGACCTAAAGCTTACTTGGGATACGATACATCAATTTCTAGCAGTAAATCTTGATCTTTAAGAAACCCTTGCTCCGGGTTGATTTTCGCTGATACTAACTTTGTCTTGAAGTGGCCAACAGCCAAGAAGTCAAGAGCTCCTACAAAAGGAAGAAAATAAACGGTACAGTATTTCAAAACAATCTATACCCGTAGTAAATGTAAATAATACAGTGTCTTTCATTGTTATCTGGTCAGGTGCATTACAACAGAGTTAAATCAAAATAGAATGAAGCGTATAAGTGAATCCTTTTAGCTGAAATGTATAGACCCCATCGCTCAGTTACTTTGACCACTTCGCAGGAAAGTCAACATCAGCCACGTGATTACCATTTATAAAATTATTCAAGTAACAGAAAGTGTATTGATCGGCACTCATAGAAAGAAGTAGAAAGATAGAAGAACACACTAGACAACATAAAAGTCAAAAGCTATAGTTACTTTGCCGGGAATTGAACCTGTCACCTCCAGACGGCGTGGGAGCCTCGCCATGGATACAAGTCCACTAAGATCATGGTCAACTAGGCACCCCACCCCCCAAAAAAAAAGGTGTCTTATTGGCCATGTCTATCGTACAGCTTGAAATCCACAACTATGGAATACGGACATAATTCATTTCAAACCATTGAAATAGCACCATAGGTTACAGAAATTTATATTAACGAAGAATATGTCAAATTACAATCACTGCAACAATTTACGAACACAGTAGACCTTAATGCTTTGTCTAGAATACACGAACATTTATGAAAGGTATTCTGCTACGTGGATTGGGGCTAAACAAAATGGCTGGGACTCACGAGCAGAAGCTTCCTGCAGCTTTGCTCGTGAGTCCCAGCCATCTAGTTTAGCCCCAATCTACGCCGCATGAGCGTGGGGGATACTCTCGGCGGTAGAGGTTGTCGCCGGAAAACCTCAAATTAGGTCGCTGGAAGTGCGCAAATGACACGTGACAGAGGCCCTGTTTTTTGGCCGCCATAATATGTGCCCGTTATTGGAGGAGGGCCGGTATTTGATTGGTAGGTTCCGGTGTGTACACGTCATTCCTATAAATAAACAGAGAGGGAACTTTTAAGGCCGTTATTTATAGGAATGACGTGATTACCATGGAAGCTTCAAATTTATCACGTGACTCTTTTGTTTGTACAACAAAGGAGAGTTCAATTTTACTGATACGTGCTTAGCACCACTTATATTCAGTGTGTGATAAATAACCCTGAAGGTACAGTCTTTATCGACTTAAAATGGGTAAATGAAGTATTTATTTGACTTCTTTATAAGGCCGGGGCCAATTTTCCGTTTCTCAACTATAAGGAGCGGCGTCCGTGGCTTAGGCGTTGCGAGTCCTGACTCGTAATTCCAACGCACCGCGATCGAAACCCACTGCTGGCTACGTGGATTTTTATTATGGTACGGGGTGTCATAGGTCGACGCTGCCTGAAATGGGTACCAGGATGAATGTGCTGGGAAAGTAAAGACGGCCGGCGTAATGCTGGCCACAGTACCCACCTAGTGCTGATTGGTCTGTAAAAATATGGGTGCTCTTTCCATGTGCCCGATGCGCCTAAGGCGTAAAAAAGGATCTGTACTTTACTTTACTTTTACTGAACTCTATAGTGGCGGCAAAAACACTTCTGACTATGCCAGTTCAGTTTTGATTGTGTCTTTTTGGCTTCGAGGTTATAACATGCAGTCTCATCTGATTCCCCTTGTGGGGGTTCCTGGTCGTTAATTTTTTATGTGTGCTGTGGAAAGGGGGCGGGGAAGCGTTGAGGGGAGCGGGGAATAGACCTACTGCCCTTCCACCCAACAAGCTAGTTATAAAAGCTATTTATTAGTGGTTTGCTAACATCAGGTGTCATGGACAGAAAGGGACATATCGCCTCCTTGCTGTAAACCTCAATACAACGTGCCAGGCGGGAAAGCTGACGAGAGAGCGAGTTTTTTTTTCTCCCAAGCAAACTGTGATGACGGCGACATTCTACAAAGGACCTGCTACATGATGATTAAAATACGAAGAATTACAGAAATAGTCAACCGGTATACTAAAGAGTTGAAATAGAAAATGTTACAGAAAATTCGAAAATAAAGTAACTAAGTATTATACCTTTTATCCGAGATTTTTCATGGTCTGTAAATTCTGGAAGTTTTCGTTCTACAACATGTTCCGGTCTGTTTCTTTGGGCAACGTAATGTGTCATCAAAGCTGGGTAGTCACCCTTGAACAGAGGATCACCAAACCATCCCAGGTGGAACGTTATAGCTCTCTCCGCTGCCTTGCGGTCAGGGGTAGATTTGGTTTTTGGTATAAACCAGTCGCAGTGTAAAGCTATCCCAATTTGTCCTGAAATAATGTTGGACGTTTTTACTTCCTTAGCCAGTAGAAAGTTTGATTCTTTGTTATCAGGTGACGTCGCAGGACAGTCTAACATTTTAGAGGGTGGTAAGACTGGGTTTCCCGGCTTTCTGATGCTTTTAACGACCTTAAAACATCTAGAAATGGCCCTAACCCCAACCCACCTGCGTCCCACGAGAGAGTGCAGCCTAGATCCCCCGACTGCATGCAGCTTATCTAACACCCCCTTAAATATTCGACCATCCCGTGACCTGTTGATTGGGGTAGGATATTAATAAAGCACCGAAAGTTTATAATGTAGAACTTTTCGCATGGGTTAGGAGACGTCAGACAGTAAATAGATAAGATGAACAAAGAGAGAACAAAAGGGAAAAGGGGAAGGGGGTGGGAGGAGGCGGGGGGATAAGTAAATGTACATGACATAGATACATAGGCAGCTAAAGAAAAAGACTGACACTTAGACATAAAGAAAGACATATACACCGACTGATTCACAGATGAAAAAAAAAACATGAAAGAGAGGCACAGACTCACAGATAAACAACATGAGAGACGGACAAACACTGGCATAGACAGACGTCCATAGATCGACACACACACATACACACACCCACACATAATTTCACTGACTTCATTGATTATTATTTACTTTCAATAAACCGTTCATTTAACGATCTTCATTATCGCACGTCGGACACAACCATAAGTGCTCCGACCTCCTCCTGAGTGTCTCCAAGTGTATTTAGACTAACAACTTCCATTCTGTTCTGGTTGATGTAACACCGGATGGTTCCTGTATGGTTTTCCTGTCTCGTAGCTCCAACTGGTACACACAGGGTATGCAGTCTGTTCAGTGAAAAGTCATTTCCCACAAAACTTTCTCACTTCAGATCAAGTCACGGAGAGTAAAACAATAAATTTGAAAGGATGAAGTGATATCCATTGACTAAATTTTGAAATAAACTGGGTATCCTGGAGCGAATTATATATTTTCAATAAACCGTTTATTTAACGATCTACATCATCGCACATCGGACACAACCATAATTGCTCCGACCTCCTCCTGAGTCTGTCTCCAAGTGTATTGAGACTAACCACTCCCAATCTGTTCTGGTGGATGTTGCGCCGAATGGTTCCTGTATGATTTTTCTGGCTGGCTGCTCCAGTTGGTACACACTGGGTATGCAGTCTGTTCAGTTAAAACACATTTTCCACGAAACTGTGTCACTTCAGATCAAGCGTTGTGGTGGGTAATGAACAGGCAGACAGATTGGCTGGATCCGCACCACTGGGTGGTGAATTGACACATGACAAGGCTCACTACAGTCAGAGGAAAGGCAAGACGGACTTTTAACCAGATCGTGACTGGTACCATGAGTATCAGAACTCTGCGCTGGCTGCTGAAGATGAGGACGGAGCATGCATGGAAATGCCCCGAGTGCTGTGATGTCAATTCTTAACTCAACTCATATCAAGTCACGGAGAGTAAAACAATAAACTTGAATGGATAAAGGGATATCCATAGACTACATTTTAAAATAAACTGGGTATCCTGGAGCATTGTTTGGCACAACAAAGCACTAAACACTGCTATAATATTGGCCAGTATATGAGGTTAACACATACGAACTGTCGGTGACGTGATTTACCTAGACACCAAGATAAGAATATGCGAGGAACTGACTTTCAGACAGATGTGTGTGCACTAGTGAATGCGGTTAACAATACGTCAACTAACTGTGGTAAAAGCAAAGGACTCATTTCCACGCCTTCAATGTATTGGGCATATAAGGCCAGACCTATACTTTATAGATCAATCGGAACCAGGTGGGTGATAGTGTCAGCATCACACCGACCGCCTTTACTTCCCAGGACTTCACCTGGAACCCATTTAAAATTGCGTCGACCTGGAAGCCAAAGTCATTTTAAAAAGAGTTTGGTACCGTAAGGATCTGAATCCAGGACTTTCGGACCCGCAGGTGAGAGTCTACTCACTACACCGGCAGATCGCTACGAATGTTTATATATATATATATATATATATATATATATATATATATATATATATATATATATATATATATATATATATATATTAGGGCTGTACCGAATCGTGATTTTCACTATTCGGTCGAATACGAATAGCTGGACCAACTATTCGGCCAAATACAAATACGAAATCATCATCATCAGGTGCTTTGCCGAGTGGCATGGGCGATTATGCCTCGCCACAATCTGCGATCTCCTGCAGCATGTATTAGTTCGTGTGCTGACACACCTTCATGCCATGCAACAAGACTGTCAAGAATCTTCTCTCGTTGTCTTCCTCTATCCCTACTTCCATATAGCTTTCCAGTGGTCACAAACATGTTCCATTTTCCCTCATCTTATAACATGGCCGAAAAATGATGACGGTCTCCTGTCTTTTTTGGTCGCTTTTTTTTTGGGGGGGGGGGGGGGGGGGGCAGTCTAATGTATTTTAAGCATTGTTCTGAAAAACCACAGCTCTGAGGCCTCAAGAAATTTTTTGGATTGCCTACCGATTGTCCAGGACTTACAGCCATATCTTAAAACTGGATGTATATAGCAAGCAATAATTCTTTTTCTAACCTTCAATTACAAAGATTTATTATAATAAATGTTCTTCATTTTATAAAATGCAGTTTTGGCCTGTCCTATTCTGTTTCTTATTTCAGAGATGCATTTTCCATTTGATGTTATCCATGTGGCCAGATACTTAAATTTCTATACTTGTCCCAAAATAAAACCACTGACTTTTGTTACACATTTAGGAATAATTATTTCCCTGGATACCACCATTACTTCTGTCTTCCCACTATTTAAACCGATGCCCATTCTTCCACGTTCGAATAGTGTATAAAATAGATTTAAAAAAACAAACATCTATAATGTCAAATGTGCGCTGAAATTTTACTTCACAAAATGTAGTACAGAATAGTAAACATTTAAAAACATTTCATGTTTAGCATCCTTCAGTCAGTCAGTCTGTGGTAACTAATACCTAGGAATGAAAGTATTCTTAGTTTTATAAAAAGTAACTAAACTTGCAAATTGTCACTGACAGTTTAGTTAATCCATGAAAGCGGCATTAACTTTCAAACCAAACAAAAAATCTTTCATATTGTCAGCATTAAGACAACTTCCTGTCTCACTGAAGGTATTTCCAGCTGTACTAAACAGACATTTACTTGAATTAATCAAGTAACAGAAAGTATTGTGAACGGCACTCATAGAAAGAAGTAGAAAGATAGAACACACTAGACAACATAAAAATTGAAAGCTATAGTTACCGTGCCGGGAATTGAACCTGTCACCTCCAGACGGCGTCTGCGCCTCGCCATGAATACAAGTGCACTAAGATACATGGTCAACTAGGCACCCCCAAAAAAAGGTGTCTCATTGGCCATGTCTATCGTACAGCTTGAAATCCACGACTATGGAATACGGACAGAATTCATTTCAACCCCTTGAAATGGCACCATAGGTTACAGAAATTTATATTAACGAAGCAAATGTCGAATAAACAATCACAGCAACAATTTACGAACACAGTAAGACCTTATGCTTTGTCTAGAATACACAAACATTTAAGAAAGGTATTTGTTGGTAGGTTCCGGTGTGTATACGTCATTCCTATAAATAAACAGAGGGGGGAACCATTTGAGGCATTTTCCCCCAGTCCATCTAAGGTTTACACTATTCGTATTCGGCCCGACCGCAACTGGCGAATACCGGTAATTATTAGGTCCACTTTCGGCCCAATAGCGAATATTCGTATCCCTAATATATATATATATATGGAAGCATCAGGCCTGCTCAGAGATATTACTGTTTGAAGTATGCTATGGATATTTTGTGACAGACGTGGCCTTACAGATACGTGATTAGTGTATTCTTCCATATAACTGTACCAATGTCCGTTTATTGAAATATCTTGCCCCTATTAAAAGACACAATAGACGTTTAAAAACCATACTGGAGGGAGAGGTCGAGAACAGGAGAGCGTGAGGTAGACACCAGTACAAGTGGAAGAACAGAATTAAGAAGTGGACGGAAAGCCGTCTAAGAGAGTGCACAAGGACAGAGCCACAGTGTGTTAGATATTCATTGCAGCCAAACTTCATGGTAGAGACAGCACCCGATTGATTGATTGTTTATGCTGATAACAGTCTCTTTTAAGCCGCAGCGATATTTTCGTCGTTTGTGAGTGCCGTATTATGAAGCTAACTAGTTTTTCTTCTTGTCTGAACTGATGTTTCTTCATGATGTTTATTTTGTTCTGTCCTCTTCTGACTCACTTTAAATTTCTCGTGGAAACTACACATCCCAAACATCTTATGTCTGTTTGCATATCTGTATGTTGTACAGAAAGGCGACTACAGGAGATCCCCTCCCTGGCACAACACTCATTCCTGTCCTCACTGTCCAAGAACATTTCGGGCTCACATCGGCCTCATCGGTCATCGTACTCATACTTGATGGAAAAAGAGTGGTCATCATCATCTTGATGGACAACACACAGATGTTTATACACTGTTTATACTATCCACACTGGTACACACACACACACAGATATGTATAATCGTATAATCAGATATACACAGATATACATAAGTATTAATCATTCGCCGAGCCACACATTTCTATCTTACCATTTTGAGAAGCTCTGTAAGTGTCTCTGTAGATTAAATAAGCCTCGGCGTGAGCCCGGATCAAGTTATGCCCAACAAGATACACCAGGTCTGGGTTTTTTAAACCTGGGGCATGCTCACCAGTTTCGTAACCTTTGTAGGCCAGGGTCACGGGATCTTCAATTGTTATCCACGTCTTCACCTTAAAAGTACAAAGTTATTGATGACATCATGAAAAGACAGTACATAGTAAAGATTTGAGAATCAGCTTTACTGACATGTAGCAACGAAACCCGAATCAGAGAGCCTGTTAAGAAATGTGGAGACCTGAATGCTCCGTGAAGAGTGGCAAGCAGGGCTTCAGATGTCCCGTGTAGTAACGTCTCTTTGAATATTTATTCAAGGCAAGCTGGTGTGTAGAGAAATGAATGGGCAGGCAGACTGGCTGGTTCTGTACAACTTGGTGGTGAATTGATGCATGTCAGGCTAGATGTTGTAGGGGCCCTGTGGGGACCAGTGAACAGTGCGGGGGCAGAGTTGGATCATCTCGGAATCAAGGGAAAGATGCTGCGAGGAGTGACTGGGGGATCTTGCCTCCAATCAACACATACGGTAAAGGTGAGACCCATATATATTCAGTTACTGGTACTATCGGAATTTGAACTCTGTGCTTGCTGCTATAGACTGGGACAGAGCGCTTATGGGAATGTACCTAGTGCTGTATGTCGATTCCTAATTAAACATTAAACAGTAAAGGATCCGTCTGATACCAGTGGCGTATCAGACATTATGGACAAGAGCTAAACTCCACAGACCAATACGAACACTGCGTGTGATGTGGTCAGCTTCAAGCCGGTCGCCTTTGATTCCCAGGAACTTTCTGGTACTCATCTTAGACATATTCCAGCAGGTGCCACGGAGGTGGAAATTCAGCAATTAATTCGAGATAATGCTCGCTCAGAGGATTTGATCATTTACACAGACGGTTCAGTGTCAAGAGGCAAAATAAGTGCTTAGGGTTTCTTGGCAAAAATTATTGGTCGACGTTTGGTGCAGAAGAGCCTAGCATACGATACCACAACTTCCAGCTTAAGAATGGAGGTGGAGGCGGTCAGTGCATCTCGAAGCAGCCGGGTCGGTTTTTTTTCAGCAGAATGACTACACGTGTCGGCTGGGGGAATAAATACCCCATGTGGAGTACAAGGGGCCATAATATATTTAGGGCGCTGCATCCGTGGCTTAGGCGTTGCGAGTCCGACTCGTAATTCCAGCGAACCGCGATCGAAACCCACTGCTGGCTGAGTAGATTTTTATCATGGTTTGGGGCGTCACAGGTCGACCCAGCCTAAAATGGGTACCAGGTTGGCTGTCCTAGGGAAGTAAAGATGGCCGGCGTAATGCTGACCATTTTACCCACCTAGTGCCGATGGTCTGTAAAAATATGGACGCTCTTCCCATATACCCGATACGTCTAAATGGAGTGAAAAGATATCTTTACTTTATATTCAGGGCCCCCAGTAAAAGCCAGGATGAGGCTTCAAATAACGAAAAATTGCTTCCCACATGGGGAAGACTAGAATAGGACATCTAGTGGCACAACAAGATAATGAATGACTGAATGACTCTATACAGGTTATAATGAAAGACAATTATCCTACCCTGTCTCCAAATGTCTTGAAACAAAGGTCAGCGTATTCCTTGAACCACGTGACCGATGATTCATTCGCCCAGCCACCGAGGTTCTGCAGCTGCAGGGGTAGGTCCCAGTGATGTAGTGTTATGAAAGGCTGGATGTCATTGGCTAACAGTTCGTCGATTAGTTCGTTGTAGTAGGCCACGCCTTTATCGTTGACACGTTCAGTAGTTCCAGTTGGGAGAAGTCGTGGCCACGACAGGGAGAACTTGTAATGTGAGACCTGTAGTAATGTAGGAAAAGAGTAGGAAAAACAATTTTTAATAAGCAAAATGTGAATAATTTCCACAAAAGTAAGTTTTTTTTTCTCCCAGATAGCTATGTTTGAAAGAAATAAGATATATTTTTTATCACGAACAATATTTCGAACTTTCCCTGCCCCCCCAAAAAACCATTCAGTTGACTGACTGACTGACTTTCCACCCCACCAGGACATCACACAAGCGACAGACACCCGATGACACAAAGTGCCACCATGTGGATGAGGATCACCGTGGAGAGGTCCCAGAAACCGCGTTCAGACAATTGGCCATATTGATGGCCTGCCTATATTGCGGCCTCCGTCAAAAGCCAGAGTGGGGAACCATTCAGTTGTGGAGAAATGCACACAATTTTCAAAAGGAATACATTAAGTTTACGTGATTAAAAAAATATTTGAAACTAACAAGTCAACTGAATAAGCAATAAACAGACCATCTTAACTATTTAGATGATCAGTCAGTCATCAACCGACCAACAATCCCGCAGAAGAGCCAGCAAGCAACCAGTCAAGAAATCAACCAATCATTGATTCACCAGACTAATCCATTGATCAATCAACTAACAAACAAGAAGCCAACGAATACTCTAATCAACCACTAATAATAATAATAAGAACTCCACAGGGGAGCATGTACAGCCAGAGTCTACCGACCATCAGTAGAAGATCCCTCGTCGACGATTGTTTCGGCCCATCACCTCCTAGCCAACTTTAGAGGATGGGCCGACCTGGGTCAAGACTCCCATGCCTCGATCTTTTCTTGCCGTACTTTATCAGATGTTCTCGGACAGGGACAAGACGAACTGGTGACTATACAACTGGTATTGTGAGTTTCAAAGTCAGATATATGTATTTTCGCTGTGGTTACCCATTATATCAGTCGGCTACCTCAACGACCAAGTGACAAGCTTACGGTTGGTTCATCGGACATATGTTAGACTTTGCAATTGGTAGAGGGACACAGGCAAACATTTCGGACACATTGGCTTTTTTAAGGGATAAATCTAACTAACGCTTGATATGACCAAAATATTTCAGCTTCTGAGACAAGATGCTGTTTATTAGCCGATTTTCCTTGATGTTCAAATCTGTTAAAATTTTAGTTTTTCCTCTTCTTTGTCGTGGTGCTCTGAGAACCGTTCTATCATATAACAAGCAGAGAAAACCCCACCTGACACTTGAGTACTCATCCTTCAATTAACAATCCCTGCAAACACGTTATTTATAAGCTTCTGCTTCTTGCTGTTCTTGTCGTCTCGACCATAAACACATGGTGCTTTTGTAGAGTGTCTCTAATGATATCTTTCCATCATGTTCTTGGTCTAGCTTGTGTTCTACATTTTTTTATTCTTTTAGACATATGCCTGGTATAAAATAACCAAAGAAGGCCTTTTTCCTTTGTCTAAAAGTCCTTTTTTGTCCTTGGGTATTGGCTTATGTCCAGCTTTTCTCAGTGACCTCATTTCTGATTTGATCTCTCTTGATCACCCCTGGAGCCTGGCTCAGACATTCCATCCCCATGGTTTTTAACTTTCTTCTCTAGTTTGTTGCGACTGACCATGACTGGCACTAGTAGCATAGGGTAGGAATGAATATGCTTTGTAGGTGATGTTTCTGTTTCCTGATTGTGTCTTGTCCCGTAAAAAAACATAAGAAACAAATAACAAAACCAGTATAATCGCTTTGACAATACACAAAAAGTATATATAGATAATATATTAACAACAGCATACAGCCAATTCACCGAGAAACACAAAATCAGACAGTCTGGTCATCTAGTAGGAATGCAGTCAGAACAACTAACGCAGGCGCTACACATGAAGAGAGATCAAGTGAAAGCAAGAGGCCTTTTATGAGATTGTGGATTGATGACATTAAAAAAAGCTTCTACATCGACATAGAATGACAATAGCAATGCCTGCCCATCAAACAATGGATCGGAAACTGTTCCTCCCCACAACGCTTAACGCAGAAGTGGAAAATGATGATGATGAGATAATATATTACACATGCGCTAGGCCATACTCACGCCAAGGGACTTCAGCAGCTGTACGTCAGTCTTCACATTATGGTAACCGTCTGGTGCAATCTTGGCGTCACCGTTTCCATGGATATTTGAGCTGTTCTGGGTGAAATCGTCCCATATACTGGGTCCTTTTCCTGTAGTAATCACAATGTGTACTGATTTTGCGATACAGGTGAAAAAGATAATTTAAAAGATCATTTCTTCCCATATCACTAGTGAATCTGAAATTGTGGTAGACTCATAAAGTCAGCTTTACTTTCCATAGCATTTCTTCTCCGTAATTTGGCTTTGGTTGACCTGACATGCAGACTGGAAATCAAGACTCATGCAGGCAGGCTACGATGCCGCGGACCAGTGGTAACATTTGTTTGGTTCTTGAGTCAGGAACTGACATGCCAGCACTCGGGACATTCGTATAAGTGTTCCCTCTCCTCTTCAGCAGCTAGTGAAGAGTTCGGATTCAAAGAGTTTCAATTCGAAGAGTTCGGATCGTTACCAAGTTTGACTTTAGAACCCAGGTGAATCCAGTCTAAACTTTGTACCAGGTAATGTGCTGCGAAGTAAAGGCAGCCGGTAGATGTTGAGTACAGATAGGACCTATAGAGTACCTATACGTAAAGGATCCTTTTCCACACCTTCATGCGTACTGGGTATATAGGGCTAGACCTACATTCAAAGACCAAACGGCAACTGGTGGATGATATGGTCAGCATCACGCAGCCCACCTTTACTTCCCAGGACTGTACCTAGGACCCACTCAAGGCTGGGTCGACCTGGGAGCCGAGGTCAGTTTTGAAACAAGTTCGGCTTATGTCAGGACCCAAACCCACTACCTTTCGATCCTCACGCGAGTATCTAGCTACTAGACCACAGCGGCTACAAAAATATGTTCCAAGTACCACATGTCAGATTGTCCAAATGCGTGGAGAGGGTTCTTGAGTTTACCTATTCCAAAAGTCAAATTAAACCAGGCAGGCATTTATAGCCTATCTTCTTTTTGATTTCCTTTTTTTTTAAAAACTGTTTCGAAGGAGATATGAGGTTCTACATCTTGTTCTTCTGACCGCCTCGACCATACACACATTGTGCTGTTGTAGAGTTTCTCTTATGTTATCTTTCCATCTTGTTCTTGGTCTACCTCCTGATAGATGCCCTTCTCTTTGAATTTTATGCCTTGTATGGTATGGCGTCACAAGGAATTCTCTCTAAGTGTGCAAACTATTTGATTGGTTATCTTTGTATGTAATATAGAATGGGTTCTGTTCCGACCTTTTTTCTCATGATTTCTTTTCTGGACTGATCTTTCGCTACGCCCTTATGAAGAGGTCGCGGCTTCCTGGGGCGCCGCGGCGAACAGTTTGGGAATCGCTGGCATAGGGTAAAATTGAATATGCTTTGTATTGAATGTTTTTGTTTTTTAGGTGCTGATTTGTATTGCCTTATGCAGTAAGAGGAGGACTAACTGCCCCCATACTTGATTTGTTTTACTGCATCTGATGTTAATTTCTGTATCCAATTTACTATCTTATCTTCGATGGTGTTCCCATATATTTAACTCCACACCTGGATCCTAGTTTATGCTTGCTATTCATCATCATTTTATTGTGCATTTAAACAAGGCTTAGATTCCTTGATGCCCTCCTCCTCCCCCTCTCTCTTCACAAAGTTGTATTGGTATTGACGGCTCTGAGTCCCCGAGTCTCATGTTTACCTGAAACGTCAGGGTACTTTGATGTTCGTACTGGGTATATAGGGCTAGACCTATATTTATAGACCAAACGACAATTGGTGAATGATGTGGTCATCACAGAAAGGTAAAGATAACGTCGGAAGATGTGACCCGGCGTCATTGCACACGGTTATATACCATAAGTGCTCTGCCACCAGTACGGACAGCTGATAAGAAACTGTCTGCCTGTGTCGCTGTCCGCACGCAACTCCGTAGCTACAGCGACGTTCCTGCATTTACCCTAGAGTGTTAACCCTGGTACCCAGTACCTAGAGGCTGGGTGGACCCCGGGAACCGCCCGGTTTCGAACACCGGCCGTGGGATGCAGCTGAATTTTAAAGCGAGTCTCCTATCGATTGCGCTGATGCGGCCCCAAGCATAGAATATCGTCTCTAGTCCTGGTAACACTCTCTAAGTGGGCAAACCATTTGATTGCTTTGATCCCTTTTGCCACCCTTATCAGACATCTGTTTATAGTTACAATTTGTCTTTTATGGTTTACTGTTCTTGTCTGGAACTGATAGCATAGGGTCAGGATAAATATGCTTTGTATTACGTCAGTGTTTGCTAAACATTTCCTAGTCGCAGCGCCTTTTGTGCAATTACAAATTTTCCACGGCGCCCTAACCTAAGTAAAAGTATGCCTTTTCGTATGTAAGAGACTAAAAAAAAAAAAAATTAAACTGGTGTATTTTCGAATATTTCGAGGCGCCCCTGGAAAGAGGTCGCGGCTCCCCGGGGTGCCACGGCACACAGTTTGAGAATCACTGTATTACATGTTTTCTTTCCTTCAAATTGTGCTGATCTGGATTGCCTAATGGAGTAAGAGGAGTACCGATTGTGCCAAAACATGATCTGCTTTACTGTATCTGATGTTAATTTTTTAAATCTAATTTACCAGCTTCGGTGAATGCTGTTCCTATTTTTTTAAAACTCAAATGCTTGCTTTATGCTCTATGCATTCTACTGCTAAGTTTATGTTCTGCTTCTTTCGTCATCTGGACATTACTTCTGTAGCACAGGGGGTTGCGTGGTCTCGATGTATGGTGTCCGCCTCGAGTGCTAGAGGTTCCGGGTTCAATCACTGGTAAGGTGTGGAATTTTTTTTTTACGTGAACTTGGACTTCTAGTAATTCCCTCTGGTCTCTGGTCAGTGAGGTCGGAAGCCCCTCTGCATAACGGCGCATGCCCGGGCAAAAATTTGGAGTAAAAATCTACCCAAAGTATTGCAGGATGCTCGCCGGTGCTACAGAGCTTGTGCACTGTGCTGAGCTTCTTCGAGCTCAGTCTTGAGTAAGAAGAAAAACGAAGCACTTACAGGTTACTATCTGTGTGCCACGATGTTGATCCGTTGTTCAAAACCTCAAATACTTCTGTAACTTTAGTGTTGATTCTCATATCAACAGAGTATGTTAGTTGCGTATCCTTTACAGGACGTTGCAGAATGAACCCCAACATTTTTAGTTGTTTTTTTTCTAGGAAAATTTTACGTTCAGTAGTTTGCCATCGCTAACTGAACGGTCAGCTCTGGGTACCACTATCGAGATCAACGCAAGACAAATCGTCATCAGCTGGGATTGAACCCAGCACCGCGGCTTTAGGAAGCGCGTTCGCAAAGCCTAAGTCACAGACGACGACAACAGAGTATCTCTTGTATAGACAGTCAAACTATTTACCTTCAGTGTCCCAAGATCCTTCTGTGGGGAAGGCTGAACTGCTAACACCGAATACAAAGGACAAAGGGAACTTTTCTAAAACGTTGTCCGCTCCAAAAGATGAATGAACCACTATGATCAGGAGTAGCAGGTGAATACGAACAGCCATTTCTTTCTTGTTTTACACAACAATGTCAAGTTACCTGATTTGTAAAGAAAAGAAGACGATAAAATTACTGTCTCCGTCCATCCTCATCCTTTATCATCCCCCATTCCGCTTCATCTTGATCCTCCTCCTCTTCTTCTTCTTCTTCTGCTTCTTCTTCTTCTTCTCCTTCTTCTTCTTCTTCTTCTTCTTCTTCTTCTTCTTCTTCCTCTTCTTCTTCTTCTTCTTCTTCTTCTTCTTCTTCTTCTTCTTTCTTCTTTTCTTTTTCTTCCCCTTCTTCTTCTTCTTCTTCTTCTTCTTTTCTTTTTCTTCTTCTTTTTCTTCTTCTTCTTCTTCTTCTTCTTCTTCTTCTTCTTCTTCTTCTTCTTCTTCTTCTTCTTCTTCTTCTTCTTCTTCTTCTTCTTCTTCTTCTTCTTCTTCTTCTTCTTCTTCTTCTTCTTCTTCTTCTTCTTCTTCTTCTTCTTCTTCTTTTTCTTCTTGTTGTTGTTGTTGTTGTTGTTGTTGTTCTTCTTCTTCTTTTTGTTCTTCTTCTTGTTCTTCTTCTTGTTCTTGTTCTTCTTCTTCTTCTTGTTTTTCTTCTTGTTCTTGTTCTTGTTCTTGTTCTTGTTCTTGTTCTTCTTCTTCTTCTTCTTCTTCTTCTTCTTCTTCTTCTTCTTCTTCTTCTTCTTCTTCTTCTTCTTCTTGTTCTTCTTGTTCTTGTTCTTCTTGTTCTTCTTCTTGTTCTTGTTCTTGTTCTTCTTCTTCTTCTTCTTCTTCTTCTTCTTCTTCTTCTTCTTCTTCTTCTTCTTCTTCTTCTTCTTCTTCTTCTTCTTCTTCTTCTTCTTCTTCTTCTTCTTCTTCTTCTTCTTCTCCTGCTCCTCCTCTTCTTCTACTTCTTCTTGTACTTCTTTTTCTGCTTCTTTTTTTTCTTCCATTACCACCACCACTACTATTGCTTCTCCTGTATTACTAGTACTACGGCTGCTGCTAATGTTTTTGATGATGCTTCTGCTACTGTTAGTGTTGCTAATGCTGCTGCTGTTGCTACTACTACTTCATTTCATTTCCGTAGTAAATCGTTACTGTTTGTATTATTGATCTCAGTATAAGTCCTGGACCTTGATTTGGAGGACTGGGAATGGGGGGTGGGGTTGGAATAGAGCATTGCATAATAACAAGCATGTCGTAAAATTCGACTAATTAAGAGTCACAACACGTCAGACGCCCTTCTTAGAACAAAAACAGAAGAAGTAATAATGAAACAATAACCTCAGAAGTAATTTGAAAGAGTTATTTTTTTAATTTATCTTTTTCAAACACTTTTTAAAACATGAAGTTAATGCACCACACACAAACACTATCTCATTCATCTTTGGCTGGCTAAGAAAGCCAATTGCCGAGATGGGAAATGAGATGCACATGTTCTTTAACAGACTGAAATGCGAAGAGACACTATATTTTGTGGTATAGGTTACAGTTTAGATAGGCAGTCACGTCACTTGATATTTTCCCTAGAATATTTTCTATGAACACATAGACTACGTTAAGCTAACAAGCAAGACTACATTGACCATCTGATCATGATGAAGGATAGACGACAAACTCTGAAGTTAAACCCCCAAGTTCAAGGTGGACCAACGTGCTGAGGAACTGGATGGCCACAGGTGAGCTGGTCGTGAACGTTGGACGTCTGGCGGGCGTGCGGGGCGGCACCAGGCGTATGGACTCCTACGGGACATCCATTGCCCCTTCCCTAGCAGGCAGGCAATACTAGGGCGACCGGTCATTTCCCGCAGTACTCTATCTTTTCGTATGAATTTTTAAAATATGCATAAGAATCGTCGCCGGAGCTACAGGGCACGTGCTCTGCGCTTGACACATTATTCAGCGGTTAGTGAAGAGGGAGTGAGGAGGAGACGACGAGGAAATGGGGAGAGAAGAAGGCATAGAAATAGGAGGGCGGGTACTAGGATAACAAGGCGAAAAGCGGAGAGATTGAGTTTTAATCATGTAAGAGTAGGATACTGGAACTGTCGGACTGCTAGGCAGAGATGTCCTGTACTGGAGAGGTTGATTTTTTATGTTGATGTCATCATGCTCCAGGAGTTAAATACAGACAGATATCATTGCCCGGGGTACGTCAGTTAAATAAACCCTGTTGGACAGGAGAGACATGGACAAGGTCTAGGGGCAAAGGAGGGAGGGAAGCATGTGGTGCTTGACTTGAGCCAGTGGAACCACAGTGGACGAGAGGTTCAAGGGATACAGGTGGAAATTGGTGGCTTAAGTTGGAACCTCATAAATATATATGCCACAGTAGACTGTTTTGTCAGAAGTGAACAATGGGGCTGACTCAAGGAATTGGAGGAGTTACCAGGTGATAGGTTACTCATATGTGGGGATTTCAACGCGAGGAACAGAGAATGGGACAGCAGTGGAGAAAACCGACAGGGAATTGCTCTTGCAGAGGCCATGGTTGACTCCGATATGGTCTGCATCAATGATGGGAGGCCGACTAGAATGGCAATGAGGCCTGGAGATGGAGACACAGCCATTGACTTGACATTTGTCTCTCAGTCGTCGGTTTTAGATGTTAAATGGACTGTCCTGAATGACCATGGGAGTGATCAACTACCATGTTCAGTCTTGATTTCTAAACACAGTAAGGTTAAGGTTGGGAGAGCACGCAAGACCTTCCAGTATAAGTGGACCAACATCCTACTTGGACGCCTTAGACAGGGAGCATGCAAAAGAACTGCCAGAACTAATTTTCTACACCCCCATGGTGGACTCCAGAAGTAGAACATGGAAGGCAAAGAGAGCCGCAGTGAAGCAGCTAATGAAAGTACGACAGACACCCTCAAGCTCACGAGAGGAAGTGGAGATGGCGGAGAAAGTGAAAAGAGATAAGGTGGAGGTTTTCAAGCGCTGTGCTGCAGAGGCCAAAAGAGTAAAGTGGGAAATTTTGTGAATGACATGGGAGGCGTTAAAAAATTGGGGAAATTCTGGAAACTGCAAAGGCAGATGCAAAGAAAAGATCGGCCTATGACAGTCGAAACAATTTGTAGAGACGATGGTGTGCGTGTGACAACAGACAAGGAGAAAGGGGAGGCTTTTCTCTATAGGTTTATAGCTCAGACAGATCATAATGATGTAGACATCAGAGATGCAGTTAGAAAGGAGTTAGCTGGCACCTTGAAAAATATGCATTATGGAGACATGATACAAGTGGATGATATCAAACAAATTTTGAAAAAAGCAAAGGACACTGCACCAGGGCCTGATGGTGTCAGGTATGGTCACAGGAAGGCTTTGAGCGATGTAGACCTTGCGGAGATGGCCGACTGTTTTAACCAGAGTATTAAGACAGCATCAGTACCGCAAGACTGGGTGCACAGCTATCTAATCCCACTACCAAAACCTTTTAAAGATCATTCTAAGCTTAGTGGCTTCAGAATCATCACCTTACAAAACACATTTGGGAAGGTCTTGGAGAAGATAGTTGCTGTAAAGTTACAAAAATTTTTAGAAACGGGGAAGCTTCTACCAAGAGGTCTGGGAAGTTACAGGCCAGGAAAGGACACTTGGGCAAATGAGGCCACTTTTGCTTTTGACGTCTATGAAGGGTTCCAGAACAGACATGAAACTATGGCGGTAGGACTGGATCTCGAGGATGCTCATAACAGTCAGATACGACATCTTAATGACTGCACTGAGGGAGAAGGAGGTCAATCCATGGCTGGTGAATTGGGTTGCAGCTGTCCTGTATTCACGTCGGGTTGCTCTCCGACTGGGTTCATGGACCTCTGAACCATGCACTTTGGCCCCAGGACTGCCACAGGGATCCGCCATCTCGCCTGTGCTCTTCAACGTGTATACGAGCAAGATTGCAAGCCTAGAAGCACCAGGAGTTGGAAGGATACTGACTTTTGCGGATGATATACTTGCATATAGGCAGGGGGAAGAGAGGGAGCAAACAGCCCGGGAGCTACAAGCGACAGTAGACAAGGTGACTGAGTGGTGTACAGATATGAAGGCTGGAAAAGGCGTCTGTTTTGTGGTGTTCTCTGGACAACAGAATCGTTAAAACTAATGTCCCAAGTCTCACGATAGATGGTAGAGACGTCAACAGAGAGAGAGCAAACTGAAGTATCTGGGAATTACATTTGACAGGAGCCTGTCATTTAAGACCATGTGGAGAGTGTTGTGACGAGATGACAAAAATGACTTAGTGCACTTAAGACTATGGCTGCAATTGACATAGAGCAGAGAATGCTTTTCACACTATTTCAGCACCTGATCCTGTCAGTGGTGGATTATGGCCTGGAACTGCTTACCGTCTCAAAGAGTCAGATGGACAAACTAGAGCGCATACAGAACGCGGCTATGCGGGTCATTCTGGGTTGCACCAGAGACACCCCAGTGGTGTGTATGCGATACATCCTTGGTTTGCCGACGGTTGCAGGTAGGCACAAGGTGATGCAGGCGAAGTCATATCTCAGGGTAGCTGTAGACACAGACCACCCTCTGCATGAGGCTCTGGGTGCAGTTAAGGGTCAGCGGCTGATAAGAGGGAGGTCATGGATGGCTCAGGCAGAAGACACAATCAGACAGGTTTGCATCCTTGAGAACATTAGGCGAGGAGAGGAGTGGGTCAAAGGGCCACCTGAGCAGTCAGACTTGTGTAGAGTCATAATCACGCTGAGTCGGGAATGCAGAGACTGGCCAGCAGGTGCCACAGAGGTGGAAATTCAGCAATTCTCTCTTCTCTTCTGCCTTTCTATCACCCATTGGAGCATAGGCCCTCAACCAACTCACGCCAAGTCGTTCTATCCTTCGCCATTGCATGGAGCTCTCCCCATGTCCTCCCAATTTTTCTCAACGATCCGGACTCCTTGCGGCTTTCTCCACACCGTGTCATCTTCTATTTGAAGAGCCTTCCCTTATCTTGGTTGGCTGGATTTTATTTGCTTCTCTTTTTGACTTATCCATGGTTGGTTGGTTTTTGTGGCTATGGTTTTTAC